ACTGTAACTAACACAGATCGCTAAGGTCAAGTATATTAATACCAATGATATATGCAGATATTAATGAATTCGACCTACGAGATGACCTTCCTCAAATTATATTCTTATCACCATGCCAGATGTAACACCCCAAGCAATTAGTAGTCTGCCGATTAATTAAAGATCTTATCAATGTTCCTACGCTTCCAGATCAAGGGGCTAATTATCTATTAAATACTTAATTGTCCCCTTGACCACTGGTCAATTGATAACATTCCCAAGAAGCATGCACGTGACCATGAAACTGATAAGAGTTCTTACTCCTCGCATAAAATCTATTTGCATGCACGAGTGAACTTAACATTCAATTTGTTGAACCCGTCTTATCGTCACTGTATAGATGGGGGAGGGTATTCACGACTTTCAGTTTCTACTATCAGTGCTTAGTATCGTCCGACAGAAACAAAAGGAGACGATATATTTCTTTTACATTAAGTCGCGTCCGATTGTCACGTGTTAGATAACCTCCCAACTCTCGAACCGAAACAGAGTTTCATGGCTGAAAATTAGCTCCTTATCGTTAAGCGTACTGACCCAGTGTAACGTTATCGGTGAGTTTATCATTTGGTTCGACTTACTTTAGCGTAGCTTACGTAGCTCCCAATCCGTGACCACTCGGTAAGTAGTCGTGTCTTATCATGGATTACAGCCATGGCCTTATATAGTCTCTTTGCTCTGACATTAACGTCGGTTGCTCGTGTCGTAAGTACGTCAACGCTTAGCGTATACTGCTTGAGTTTCAATAGATTTCAATGTAGCGACAAATGCCCTGCGACCTGGTCCTATTCCCTTAAAACCAAGTTTGAAATGTCCGTGAGTACTGGATTCGCATGTCTGCCTTCTTGCTGGGCTTAACTACTGTCCCTGCGAAACGATCCCAGCCGAAATAACACGGGTACCGGCTCGAATACTAGACTAGTGAAACGGTCAATACTGAGCTGGAGACCCGGAATGCTTCCCGGAGCAAACTAACACCCGCCGCGGGTCTAGACGGAGACTTAGTACACAAATGCGTAAGAAAGTTGTGTAACATTAAACGTTGTGTAATTCTATCGAACCGTATACCACGTACGTGAACGGAAGAGCATTTGCATCGCAAAGCTGCCATAACTGTATCATGTTAACGTCTGACGTGAAGAGGATACGCTTCCTCGTTGAACGCAAACAAATTGGCCTCTCTTGGTTATTTCATGAAGAATAAATAAGAGGAAGAAAAAAAAATCATCCCCAATTTCTCTAAGGTGCTATCCATTGTGATGCTCGACGATCTACCGCAGAGGGTTGCCGCTTTGTACGGGATATTAACGGATACTCGTGGCCTCTTAAAAAGACGAAGGACTCGTTTTGCTCGAGGTAAATTCCACGGGATCGCTATTCCATTCTATCTGGACACCCTGTATCATCGTCTGGCACATATTAGACGCAAGCCCCAGCAAAACCGTCGAACCAATCTTGTCGCCAAGTTCGATCGATTGGCTCGTCGTTTTCGGGAGGATCCTATCAGCTGCGGGTCGCTCTGTGAAATTGTGACCCCTCCGTGTCGCATTGAATTATTTTTGGACATTATAAAAAATTACGATCACCCTGTATAAAATTAAGTCCGAGATACCTGTTATAAGCAGTGATCGATAAGACGGCTCGAAGCCATTGAAAAGTCCACGACTGTATAACAATCTCAAGTTTCATTAATGGCAGTTAACGTGAATGAGAATTGGTGATATTTTTGCAATGACTTTGCCAATCCAATTTGCTTGGTTAGCTGGAATCCGCGAAATGGCAAGTTTTGATGTACGTCAGGCGTAAATATCCGACGGGACGATTCAGTGGGATTCGAGGATTATTTTCTGTAACTGGGAATGGGTAATGAAAATTGAAGAAAAAAAAAAACCAAAAAAAACAAGAGAGCAAGGTAGGTAAGTGACGAGAGAAAAAATAAAGAGAAGGGGGATAAATATGAAGAGAACAAGGATAAGGGTGAAAATGAAAAATGTAAAAAGCAAAGTGTGAAGGGAGTGAAGAAAAAAATAGAGATAATGCCTCCGTCGATTCTCTTTCGCTCCATCTCTCGTCGGGTAATGGGCTCTCTTTCTCTTTCAGAATGGTTCCTCCCGTTCCCGCGAGGAGCACTTAAGCGGTCGTTGTTTATTAAAGTTCGCAGCCACTGAATAATTAGTTTAATCTTACGGATCGATCCAGCCATCCACCTCTGCTGTCGTCCCGTTCAACGTTTACCAATGAGTTAATGCTTTAAAGTATCCCGAACTGCGCATGCGCACGAGTAACGTGATCTAGTACCTTCGTACTTACGATATGCATGCACAGGGTGGTAAACCCTTCGATCAATTTCAATGCATGACTTTTAATCAAGCCTTTGCTTAGCTCTGTCGTGCGGATCGTTGGATAAACTATGCGTCGATCTTTTTCGTATGATATTAAGTAATCGTGAGACACGTGGCGACTGACGCACGCGAAGCGTCGAATGCGCCGTGACTGCGGGACAAGTGCAGCATGAAAAGTATGTATTGTGAATGACGACGAGGACCAACTCGAAGAGTCGAATCTAGTGGCTTTCCGGGGGTTAGGTACAATTTTTCACTCGCTTTCGGTTTCCCTTGGGAACCTAAACGAAAAGACCTGTAACGCTCTGGCAATTGGTTGATTACTCGGCACAAGTCGCTACGTAACATGCAGCTGGTTGATGGTTCTGCTCGAGAGGAAGAAAGGATAAGAAAAAGAAAAGAAGACGGATTGGATGGGAAAAGGAGAAAAAAATGGATGAGACACGAAAACTGGCAAGAAGACTCTGTATAGAATTCCGAAAAAGAAAAATGATTTTCGTTGACATTCTAATAAAAGAAAAAGAAAAAAAAGGGTTTATATTATACGAGAAAAATGCTAATAAATATTCATGCCGTATTATAGATATATACGTATTATACGTTTGGCTATATATTGCACAGTAGCTGGTCTATATATGTATACATATATGCATATGGCCGGGCGTTTCGTACTATGCAAATGCCTTAGATGAATCGCGATGTATTTCAGTGTTTGAAGTGACAGAGGCCAAAAAAAAATATTCGGGAAAGTAAGAAAATAAAGGAAATTAAAAGTGAAAAGCTCGCGATACGCTTGCAAAAATTTCGTACGTTCGACTAGGGGACAAAAAAAAGCCAGCGATCCACTAGACGCAGTTTCTTCCTATAGGCGCTATATAAACATAGATATAGCAGCAGCGCTTACACTTCGAATACTCGCAATTCGAGTAATCAAAGAGACAATACGGTTTCGTGTCGGTAAATAACACGAATTCAAATCAATCCATCTGCCAACTTACGGCCAATCCTCGTGACGTAGTTCCGTGCCGAGAAACCATGGAACGAACGAGGAAATCCATCAAGTACAAACATTTTTACAGGCGCAGAAAATCATATATATATGTATGTATGGTATATTGGTAAACATTATATTTGCGCACGCAAATGGAAAAAAATATATATATTTCCATTAAAAAAAACACATATATTCTATCGCCACATTTTTCTCTCCTCAATCCTCGCTCGAAGGATGATGGATACACATCAAAAACCAATAATTATTCGTTTACGTATAGTCCCGAAGGATCGAGCACATTTCTCATTTTTGATGATGTTACATCCTGTCTTTTTTTATTTCTGAATTTCCCGATCTGGCTTCTCTCCCGAGACGCGGTCGTCGCGACGCCCCTATCAGTCATACGAAAGACAGACTCCGCTAATTTCCAGGATATTTCTACTGTGCACTGTTTTTTTTTTTTTTTTTTTTGAATTGCTCGTATATGCAAAGCATTCCTTTTTGGAGGGAAATGGTATAAAAACCGTAAGATCAGAGCTGGATCTCATCGTTACGGGTCAAAGGTTTCCATTAAATTGACCTTAAAAGACGTTCGTATGCTGAATAAATTTTCGTAAGAATTGTACATTTTCTCAAACACAGACATTTACACAGCGGGTCACAAAGTATCACGTACCGTATCGATATTTTACTTATTTCTTTTCTTCGGGTTGCCGACTCACCGCAAAGTAGTAGCAAAGGTAAAAACGACGCAGGCGATTTTCATTAAAAGTTAAATTACACAGCAATCGGGTTAGAAAGTGCTCACGCCACTCGTTGATTCGAGAGGCAACCTTTAATTATAAAAATTAATGAGCTTATGTCATCATCATCGCAACATCACAGTCAATTTTGTTACTAAATTTCTTTCATTTTATCCACATATGTCAATTCTCACCTCGCGTTCGTATTATCGTAAAGTTACGTTTAATTAGCAATTTAAAGAATTTTCAATCGATCTCTCCGGCTGCCATCCACTTTTTTACGGGTTCATTTATCCGAGGACTTTTATCGCTGAGACCGAGGAGTATTCAGGATTCCGTGGATTTCCAGACCATTAGACCTCTACATATATATATACATATAGGCAACCCCTATGGCTTATCCCATGGGGACATTAACGATATCCAAGTTATTCGCGAAGGGAAAGCAACAAAGGGGGAAATCATCGAGGACGATAAAAAATAAAAGCCAAGACGCGACAGTTACTGAAATACATCGAAGTCGTAAATCAATTCGTAAATCAATTAGCCCGTGTCGCCAAATACTCAACGGATGGTTATACCGCGTGGTCATTTATTACGAGGCTAACGTTCACTCGCCACGCAAGCATGGCTGAAGCGCCATAAAGTAGATGCAAAGTAAGGTAGCCTCCTTGATCTTGTCTAATCGTCCATCCGCTATTGAAAAAGAATTATGACAACAGGAATAACACCATCAAAATCAAGATCGTCTCATCCGCCACCATCCACGTGACGATAGTTACTCCTATATCTCTTATCATTCCGAAAGATTAAATTAATTAAAATTTTCCCTGCGATGCATTATAGTTAATTCAACTTTTTATTAAAAACATGGAAAAAGCTCACCTCCCTGAAGTTGCGGCTCGTCCAGTTCCACATAGAACAGTGCATCCTTCTCATAGGAATCCTCCTCGATGATCGTCAAGAAGATGGTCTTCCTGAGAGAACAAAATCCAACTGTCAAATTACGTTCGAAAAAATTAAAAAAAAAAAAATTTCATAAAATTTACGTAAAATAATCGCATGGTCCATATAAGATAATTTCCATCTTCCCGGGATCCTTCACGACAGATTAAATAATCACTCGTACCAAAGATAAAATGTTATTCGGTGTGAGCCATAACGTGGAAAGGTAGCGCTGATTGAGGGTTTATTAGCAAGTGTAAATTGGTAGACTCTGCAAGCATCCAGGGCGTAACTCAAGTAGACGTTCGATAAACCCATAAAGGGTTAGAGGAACCCTTCAGGGTCTCGTTACATCAGCCGCGAGGGTACGATCTTTCGTAGCAGGTCGTACCTATAGTACCTATAGTACCTATCGTGTTTATAGTACATAAATATACATATATCGATACATCCAAAAATACATGTATATATTACGAGCCTTAACGACATCGGCTCTTCGTCTGAAATTCAATTTCCTTTTATGCTCGACAAGACGTAACGTCTAACCAACGCAAGGCATGCTCTACTTTATCCTATACATTTTTTCGTCTATCGATAAAGAAATTTTAAAGTTTACACGTAGCGTCACACGTATATACAGACGAAGACGCAAATCGACTTAGACTTGTATCTGTAGCATATTGAATGCGCGTAGGCGAAAGAAATAGAAAAAAAGAAAAAAAAACTAATCCTTATATTGGCTGATGGGAAATATTGTCTCCTACTGGAGGCTCAAGTAGAATTCGTATCACTTTGTCTTTTTCCAAGAACGTCGAAAGGTACGCGTCAGTGTCATTGTAATAATATAATTTTGTAAAAGTTACACTTTTTCCTCAGCTTTCTCAATAACGTTGCCCAACCTGTTTCAGTACCTTTCTGATATACCGGGTACCTTGAGAAAAAGGTACCCCACCCCCGTGTGGAAGCATTGGTTTTCAGGGGGTCGATTCCAATCCAATCTCACGAAACTGTGTCCCCCTCCCGCCAGGTGAATTTTTGAGGCGGAGTCGAGAATAAAGGCGGCTGAACAAATACGATGGCGTCGCGACGCCCTCTCAAGTACTCGACGTTAAATTGAACTCTTCACCCTGAGAGGCCTCGAGGTATAGCTACTGTGTCAGGGCCTGTGTAAAGGACTAACAGATATATCCTTGGGGTTCGCGCAAATATTTACATGATGCTCAGGTTGCGCAATAATTTATCTCATTTATCTCCTTACCCAACGCCTTAAAGCTGCTAAGATTTATAAAAATTGAGGTCTTTGTGTAAATTATTAATATTATCAGCATCAATGACTCTTGTATATTTCTTCGACCGTGATAATGATCCTCGTAAAATTGTGTCAATAAGAAAAAAAAAAGAAACTTTATATGCATACCGAGTACAGTATGCCTGAACAGGTGACTCGCCTTAACAAGGACGTTAAGCGAAGTTCGATGTTGACCTATGCACTTCATCCACTGCAGATGCAGCGTACGTATACCCAAAGTACTGAACATATTACAAGTACACCAGTAGCAAAATATCGGGATAAAGTATCCGCTTATGTATATCTATACATAGACATGCATGTATACATGCAGGAACCTAAGGTACACGTAGCTACAGTAAGCTCTACTAAAGTTCTGACATTTACCGTCGAATGCAGATATCCGGCTAGATTATATTTCACGATTGCATGTAGCAAAAAATTAAGTAGCAAAAAAAAATTCGACAAAATTCACATACAAACGTACAGCTACGTTCAGCACTTTTCTACAGGGTGTCCCAAAATTCGCAGGCAATCTCCACGTAGCGAGGATCAGGATCAAAAGTAGATTACGAAAATGACCTTCCTTTTGTTCAAAAGTTCATAGTTTCTAAACGGGAGCCGGTCAAAGTTCACCAATCAGAATATGGTGACAGCGGAAATGGCAAAGATATGCAAACTCAGAGTTTTCTTCCTCGCTTTTGTTTCTCGGTCACGGTAACGACAGTGAAGGCGGTTCCCCATGCATACTAGATAACACGCTACCCGATGGGCTTTTGTTTTTAGCTGATTGACGAGAATTAACCATAGGACGCGAAGTCCCAGTTACACGATGTCTCTCATGAAAATAGCGGGAGTTTCACTCTGAGAGCTCATTCCCTCAAGTAGAAATGTCATGTCAAGTCATGACAAACCTGACAAACCTGACGAACACGTGACAAACGCATGCTGCGTAACATAGGAGCCCCGAGGATGGGAAATATTAATATCAGTTCGAAATACAATATTAAAGATACGAATTGCTTTACTTCGAGTTCCTCATCCCAGTCTTCATAATTTCACAATACCTCGCAATAACCTTGACAGTTTTTGTGTGCACCACGCCATTACTCTTGATCGTACATCCTCCCATGTTTTTTTTTTTTTTTTTTCATTATCTCTTGATCCAGGACGAATTCATTTTTGTAGTATTCGGAGTCCTACATTTCCTCGATGTAATGCTGGGAGATTCAGGGTCCCTCGCTGTCATCCTTCAAAATACAACGGTTTATTCGGCGTCCCATTGAGCAAAGGTAAAACCGATGTAAGTTCAAGCTGCTTATTCTATACCTTTTTTTATGACTCCCGACTGTCCGTTCGCCAGGTAGGCACAGAAGAGGAGTTGTGTGTTTTGTTCTATGTTTTTTTAAACATAGGCTTTCAGGATATATATATATATATACGTAGATATCGTCTGTTTACATAACGTCATCACAGCTGACAGGCACGTTACATGTAATGGCGATGGCTATCCTGAACCCATGCTGCATAATGGCTAGGTTTTACGGCGTACTGCAGTTTATATTATGACACGTAGGGAGAGAGAGAGAGAGAGAGTGAGCTTTACGCAAAGTATGCTAGAGGCAATGGACGTACGTAGTTTGATAATGTAAGATACATAATTACTAGTAAACCTTCCCAGCCTCTTTTATTAATGCACAGCTGCGTCAGGATACTCGCTGAAGTGTCGAATACAACGTGAATAAGGTGTAGGAATTAGATATCAGGTATACCCATGTAAAATTACATCGGTATCGCTAAGGTGGAGACGACAGTAATTAATTTTCCCGTTTAAATAGACCGGCAATAAGCCTCGTAATTAATTGAGTTCCCAACGCAAATGACGCTAATGAACGGACGTCCACGTCTTCAGTACAGAAGGTTGTACGTCGGATGAATAAAGGAAGCGAGTTATAATTTATTCATCTTCAGCTTGGCATTTTTTGTGTTTCATGCCTCAAAGTTATTCAACGATTAATATGAATAACTAAAGTCCTTCTGAATAGTTTCGCCAGTGACGAGTGATCCTCGGGTATGATTTAAATTTTGAAAAACTACGGATTTTCTTGAAAGCTCGAGATGAGATGAAAAGTTGAAAGTAAAAACCGTAAAACTGGGATGAATCTTGGGGATGACCTATTCATCCCTATTAGAAAAAAAAAGGTCACGCGATCTCTGGAGAAGTGAGTAAAAGGGAAGAAATACGTGTTATCCCAAATCGAACTTCTAGGCACGGGATACCTCAGCCCTTTTCGATATACCAGGGGAAAACGACATTGTTCTATCTGCTGAAGCACGTGGCAGTGGTTCTCATTGAAAAAAAAAAGAAATACAATTTTTCTACTTCCACGTCATATCACAGTTGTGGATGAATTCGGGAACAGACCGAGGGCCTAAATAGTCTACGTAAAACGGGGAGTAAAATCTACGTAAAATTGGGGAGTCTGGATGAATGTTTATTAAACATGAGCGCCATTACGATGAAAAGGAAGAACGTAATCTCTCACGGGGTATTCTTAATGGTCCCAGTGCGTGTAGAGCTTTTCATGTCTTAAGAAAGCAAATTCATAAGCACCACGAACTATGCCATTCCCTCGAGCTAATTGCGCCTATTTACTTATCCGACACGTAACCAACCATAATCCAGGCAGTCGTTAAATTTCCCCGAGCGACCAAATGAGCTGGCATTAGATGAGGTTTCATAGGAACGTTAGTAAGGTAACAGCTTGGATTCTATAATAACTTCTCTTGTGTACTGAGACGTTTCGTGATTTCATAGCCTTCGGAATCACGAGACTTTTCGTAGGGTTTGCGCACTGGGCAGGCGTCTTCAGAAACAATTTAGACACTGGAGTTTTTAAAATAACAAAATAATGATATATTGGCCTCTAAGTTACAGACTAGGTATCCTTATTATTCTATTTTGCTCTCTTTCACACATACACACACTTTATAATTGTCTATAGCTTGCCCGTGGTACCATAAGCGACAAGAAGTGTTTTTGTTTACTTATTCTCTCTGCTAGCCTTTTGGATTGGAAAGAGGTAGCTGGAACCACGGTACAGCAGTTTGCACAATGCGTCCGAGGACCGTGGTCCAGCTATTGGTTCGGATGATAATGATTCAGTACCCACAGGAGATCACAATGAACCCCGTTTGCTGAATCCCTTATCTTAAGGATAGGTTCGACTCAGGACAGCTACTAATCACAATGATATTGGGAGCTGAGCTGTTTTTAAGGAGTGTGGTTGTTCTGTAGTGGTCGATTTCTGACAGCTCCAGCACAATGCTTTCGATGCAGAATATCTACAAGGATAGCCGATTTCCTGATACAGGGTGGAGACACAATGCTTTCCAAGACCAGGAACTGCCGAGGATGAGTTCCCACAGTTTGCAGTACAATACTGTTCACTGGTTCGCTCTGGAACAGAGGATTGGTTTTCTCCTAGCTTTTTGATAATTTACACTTTCCAAATCTTTACTAGCTTCTTGTCGTCTTGTGGAGTACAAGGGTCTTGTCGATTCGTCTGGATAGATACGAGTGGACCGACTGACTTCCTATCGAGAAAGCCGCTGCTTATATCCTCGATAGGCATACGTTAAAACTAGCGGGGATAACGATTTTTATCCACCCGAGGTGTTAACGTCGCTTTTTGGATTCAATATTTTGATTTACGATTGGATTTGACTATTTGATTTGACCGATTCGATTAGCGGTTTCTTCAAGTACCGGCTTACTGGCATTTCTATTGTCTTCCGCGCGTGCCGGCTTATAGCGTCTGGGCACTTGTTTGTTTTGATTTCAGTCTGGTTTCAGTCTGATTTCAGTCTATTTCGGATTCTAGGAATATTGAAAGTAATAATTTCTAATATTACTTCCTCATGCCGGTCGCTGTGACTAGTTTCAAGGGAATTACGCAATATTAGAGAATTAAAGGTCCTATATACTCTTTCCTTTATCGGCGTCGCTGTGAGAGGTCGATAGGATTATTGAGGAATTCTAGGATTTGAGGAGTTCTCTCAGATACTGTTATGCACATCCACAGTGCGCTATGCACACTTATGTGGGGCTCTTGACGTACGAATCATCGAAAATGGATGATTGGGAAGGAAAAAGGATAGAGGATAGGGGGGTATAAGGGTGGAACGTTACAGTACATATATACTCATGGGGTTAGGCTAGTACGCAAGATCGCCCTTATGTCGCGTGTATGTCATATCCTCTTATCGTCTTTCGTGAGATCGTCTGTCAAAAGACTCCACTGGGGTGATCGACGCGAGAATAGGTGATTCTCCCTTCTCAACGTCGGCAGTAGGCGATAGGATTTATTTATTCATCGGGTGGGTGTAGCCTGGAGCTTCACAGCAGAGGCGATGTTGAGTCGCTAATATACACAAGGGTTCTACTTTGCAGATAATGGCTGACTCGGGGCTGTTACGAGCGGCGAGAAGGCTGATTACCCTAACGAGGCCCAAAATATCTACAGCCCATTAGAGCAGCCACTACATCAGTCTTCGTCATCGTGCAGCGACCACTTGCACGAGTCCCTTGGCACGCATCGTCGTTCTGGGCGCTTTTTGGGCTTGTATAAATTTCATTACGGCGATAATAATTTGACGAATAAATCGGTTATGAGATAAAAAAATTCAAAAACAAACTTTTTATAACACCAAATGAATTAATTAACCGGCATCGACGAATTTGCAACGTTTTTACATTAGGGTAAAATCATTAGAATTCGCATCAATTCGTCAGGGTGTTCAACGACTTTCAGCCACCGTACCACTTTCCCTCCTACCGTGTAATGATGCCACCGGAAGGTAGCGACATGAAAAGCAACCCTCCGACTCCTGATCAGCACAATTCACGAGGCGTATCGCATTTCCACTCGAAGGCGTTGTCCATATTTTGACTTTCTGTGATTTTCTATATCCACCCCTCGCGATCCCCGCCCGATGCCGTGCTGGAATTATATCCAATACACCGTGTGGAATCTAGCCTGGTATTTACGGAACTCGCTATTATCCAAAGCTCTATGGCGTTTCACCTTTTCCACAGGGTTGTGTGACAATTCCAATTCCACCCTGAAATGGAATCTTTATCGATGCTGTGTAGATATTTACTAGCCTTGAATTTTCACGTGAACGTACAGGGGGATGTTTCTCCTGCTACTAACAATAGGTAGATTCGCCATCACGTAGATATACGCGATGAAAATAAAAATTCAATGAAACAGGTGAAGAGATTTTTTCCCTTTTTTCTCTTTCTTTAGCTATTTCTTTTTTTTTTTTCATCCATTCGCTCAGTAACTTCCATTACAAACGGGCATCGTGCCAGATGAACGTACAGAGTATTCGCGATGCTCAAGGGTAGTTTTTTTTTAAATTCTCTGCAATGTATGAATAGGCCTCGATTTATCGTATGTAAGGCACAAGTGGAATTTAGCTTATGAATTACCAGCCTATCTACTACAGACCTGTTGAACATCCAAAGTTGTGCACTGGAAGAGTCTCAGAAAAATCATCCCCTAGATCGTAGTATATTTACGATCCACAGAGACACGAGATCGACTGCTCAATTATCTTCGGAGAATGATACTTGATGGAATATCAGTAACTCTTGATATCTCCCATCCATAAAGAGCATCGGTAATGCCCCAGGCAAGTCGTAGTACTGTGTCTCCTAATCCAAGTATGCCAGAATCAAAAGGAAGAATATTTCACCCGTCTGAAAGTTACTGAAGCAATGAACCTGACTGGGAGTAACTTCGATTCAAATGAAATTCAGCACTGTGCGGCAGTCAGAGCTCAACGTTAACTTCGAAACTTGTCTAGAATTCTGTCCAAAAGTTTCTACTGTGAATATATACGTGGTACGTAGCTACCATATGGACAGAAGTTTTGTGCTATATCTGTACGTGGAAATTCTAACTGCTTACTATTTGTCGTTCGTTTCTCTGCGGTAGAGACAAAAATACTAGAAGATAATAGTGACGCCAGTTTATAGTATTAGTAGCTGAAAACAGTGGAACCACTATTAGTAAAAGACGTGGTGGGTATTATTATATCGAAGAAATAGCTATAGGATGGATATATATTTCCGGCGAATGCCATCCCTCCGACGAGTTCTAAACCTACAGTAAACAGGATTTGGTGTTGCTGCTGCAGAAAGCAGTGACATAAGCTAATGAATTTCTTATGGTAGAATAAGTCGGGTTGCTTCCACGAAAACCCTCGGCTTAATTCACCAGACCAATGAGCTGCTGCCCTAGGACCAAAATAAACATAACGGAGGTCCTGTCAAGGACGCTCTAGAAAGTTTGTAATTGGGTGATCGAATCTAACGCTTGATTAATATTCCTTCGAACAACGGATGAAGAGATTTTGCAATGTAAAATCGAGAAACTTTATGGGATACGACGCCCCGTAAAATCATGCAGAATGAAACGTGAGGAAAAAGCTCTTACTCCATAAAAGGATTTTTTTTGTTAAATTTATATAGCTCATGGAAGCACATTTTGAAATGTCTCAAGTTTCACTCTAGTCTTGCTAACGAGTACATAGTTTGTATACGGTACTAATTTACAGCACGTTATACCAATACTGAATTAGGTATATAGACGGAGAATTTGTAGTCTAGAGAATTGTACAAGGATAATTCGTACCTTCAAGATTCTGCAGAACAAGGCAAAAGTATCCAATGGAACGACAAGAAAATTTAATAGCAAACTTTATATCTTTCTATTTCTCTCCTTCTATTGTGTCAGCATCGCGTTCCGCACGCCAATTAAACTTTTCAAGATCTTCCCAGACAGCGAATAGGCAATTTGAGAATTCAAGTCGTCACAATATTTATGTTACTGCGACTGTCTACGAGCAATTGCCATTTTCCGTAGTACGCTTTGATATTGTATAGCTATAGCAATTTTACGCCAGCCAGCTTATCTACGTCGAACCACATTAACCCGGCATCGTGTCCGAACTCGTTAAGGTGGGATTTGTTTTGAGGTTATGTACAGCCGGTATTACGAGGGTTAAAACAACGCGACGATATGCAGACCGGAAAACGGTTACGAGGACTACCCTACCTCACACCTTATTATTAGTTACCCTCCTGACTATAAGCAGTAAGTTGGCCTTGTATTTCTAACCACAAGTAGCGCGAGTGAAAGGGCCAATAATAGCACGGCACGTCGCAGTACAGCGCAGTAGTAACAAAACAATGCTACGCGAGAGCCATCTGTGAGGGATAGCAGTAAGCATGCTTCAAAGAGTCTAATCTTAAGACAAGTATAAAGTCTATCTCGAAGCATTTTCATTTATGGATGTCTGTTTCACGGTGATGAACTAATGTGAGTTAGCCTTAAAGAAATAAATACCGAGCAGAGAACGAATAGCCAAAGGTGCTTAGCACTTCGGAAGTTAACGGGGCGGCACAGTATCGGATAGGGTGCACAACGATATAACACTATGCGCACCCTTGGGGCTTCCCGCCCCTACTGGCCCACTTACGACTCGTATGTTTCTTGTCCGTTGCTGCGTTTCTCGCGTTGCCGTACTTCCTTCGTCTGAAGATGCAAAATTTATTTGAAAACGATTAACTTGGCTTGCAATTGAAGTAACGATTTTGAAAAATATTCAAAACAAGGATCTATGGCAGATATCCAAATTTTGAGGTTTTCTATCTTAGGGTAGGAAGAATAAAGGGTAATTCGTTATACGTTATTTGAAAAAATATGCCAACGGATCATATCAGGATCCTTCTAAGTAGAAAATATCGGTTGCGTCCTTGGAAATGAAAATGAACAACTGGCGCACTTCCCACGTAAGCTCGCTTTATGGGAGTTTCTAGGCTACTTCGTTTACCAAGCGTGAAGAAGGAAAAAGAGGGTGGCAAGCACCAGTGAATCATAGAGAAAAATACTCTGGGAAACGCAAAGGGACATTTCTAATAGCACCATAAAGGCTTAATGTCACGTGCACGTGAATTCCAATCGAAATTCGACGTCCGAATTTTCGAGAATCGCACCCATTTCATTTCGTGACTCGATTGCACAATTTTTCAAGGAATACGTTCTAGCCGTACATTGCTTGCTAAAGTATATTATTCTAGACTAACAACTGTGAACATAATTTATCCAAGCTGTATGTTTCATCGTTTCGTAAGCGTGTATCATCCCTCGATTATATTTCATGCAATATCAGCACCTATCATTGTATTAATTACTAAGCAACCCTAATGTTATTACGTATGAATAAATCCTCGTCCAGGGATAAATATCCATGATCTAATTTCATAAGTGACTTGATATTGATTGATTACGTGTAATTAAAACAATCCGGTATCTCAATGATCTGACGTCGGAAAACAGAGAAATTAATGCTAAAAATCATAATCAATGATCTTTACATGCATAAATGATTTATCATGATCAATATCTTTTACTCACTCTGTCTGATTATCCTCGAAGGTAAGTGTACCTTCCGAATGCATATATTGTTTTCCAGGCTTGGCTGTGCCTTCCACAGTGCGATAAGGTACGACCACGCGTCCCCTGGCGCCGCTGTACCTCACAACACGTAGAGGATATTGCCCGACGCTCTCGACCAACTCAACATCCCTTTCAGGAAATCCGAAGATGCCACTGTGATCGTCATCCAGGATCATCACCGTGGCGAGACTAGGTGAGGCCAGCATAGCAGGTTGGGAGCAATTGCTCAGTCTGTAAGTTGAGAGACACAAAATGTAATAAAATAACGAACTGAACCTCAAGACAGGATCCACTGAACCTATACCAGTGGCAATCTCGTTTAAAAGCGGCTAGATTTTGATTTTCACGCTCTGACAACCTCTAAAGGAAAACCCTTAAGAAATTGTTGCCGGGCCTTTTCGCTTGGAATTACTGCGCCCGATAGGACGGCTGATCGATGCAGTATAGGGGCTTCCGCCAGAGAGCTTATAGACTTTTCATCGTATTTCCCGTATGTTTGGTATTCAGTTAATCGGGCCTCTGAGAAAATCCAAAGGACTTTTCCTCTATGAGTTCAGACTATCTGGACTATTACTACCGAAGTATTAGGATCTTAAGTTTCTACTCGTATAACTCAAGCTCGTTGCAGGAACTTGAGAGTTGAAATCTATAAATTAATTTATAATTCTTGTATAAACTTTTACGTACTAATCCTTTTGATTTTACAGCGTGAACGAAAGTTTTCCGGAACTTCCAAGAGAATTTAAAAGCAAATCGTCAATGAAATGAATTTTATTTTCTTGGCTTGTTCATTTCTTTACTCTGTCGATAGACTGAATCCTTTGGAGAAATGTCGGAGTCTTTATTGCTTAAAAATATCTTAGTTCCCAGAACACCTGAAATCGATAGAGCTTTCTTTTTCCTTTGGTGATATACGCGTGTCATATTATTTTCGATCCAATTTTTTTTACTTTTTCGTTCATGAAAAATGAGTTAAGAAAAATGATGAAAGAATCGCTATCGAATAAAGCGTTATGTCAGCGGTAGAGATTCATGGGATAATGAGTTCATTCAAGACAGCACGCGTGGAAAATCTTAAGTATGCGGTAATGATTTCCTGCTCGACCTTATTTCACTTTGGATAAACATAATCCGCGCGTGAGCGTACGTTACGTGATTAGAGGCAAGACGAGTAGCTGCGTGACTCACGACATCTTACCTGCATTTTATTACTTTTCCCACCAGTTTACCTACACCTCCCTTATGGTAGCTCGACATTTATATTCTAGCGAGAAGTCAACGGGGACTCCTTGTCCCTGCTAAATTAATGGGGTTGCGGAGTCCCATCCCGAGGCGAGTAAGTTAAGCGCGATTAATCCTAGTCCCTATTATTCGGGCCAAGGGTACAAAAATATCACAAGGATGTCTCCACCAGACTTCTATATCTTTCAAGTTTATTTTTTATAACCTTAAATTTTTCAGTTTTTTGTATAATTAGGTTTCCATTCCCCAAGGCGGTATATGTCAAACTATATGTGTTCGAAGCAATAAAAAAAAAGATTCTTACCGTACGTAAAAGTGTTCATCCTCCTCGAAGATTTCGTCATCAATAACAGACAGTTGTATAGTCTTCCTGGTTTCACCAGGAGCGAAGGTGAGGGTACCCTTAGCAGGTATATAGTCGGAACCGGCTTCAGCTGATCCATCCTCGGTACAATAATCAACGGTACAGGGTTTGGTGAGATCTCCACCAACTCGCGTGACTCCGACCTCGAATGTTCCGACGTTTTCCATGACGGTGTAGTGTCCAGGTTCAAAAAATATCCTCGTGGCGTTGATGCTCTCGATATCGACACTCTCAGCCTCAGCCCGTTGAAGTTCGGCCTTGACTTCACTCAGATCGCTCTGAGCTCTCTCGCTGATCTTCCGACTGAGATTCCCAGCGCCGACCATTTTACGAGTCGCTTGGACCCTGTAGAAGGCGCGGCTCTTCGGTCCCTTTCCGAGGACCTCCTCGTGGGCCATGACCTCCAGCTGTTCCAGCGACAGAGTGGGATTCTTCTTGCGTAACTCCCTTAGCGTATTTATATAATCGCGACGCGTTTGCTCGAATTCACGAGCCTCGGGGGTGTCGTCGGTGTCGCCAGTATCGTCCGCGGATATTGCGTCGAGTTGGGTTTTGATCTCAAGCTCAACACCAATCTCGGAATCACCAGCTTCCGCTTGCACGATCACTCCTCTCTTGTTCATACGATATCCTTTGTGAAGATACTTGTAGATAAGTAGTCGTCTATCAGCAACGTAGGCTGTGAGTACGGTAGCAGGAAAAAAGGAGAAGGTCAGGATGCCTTCCCAAACCTCGAGGACACCCGGGCTGGACACTGCGAGGATCACGTAGAGCCATACGTAGGCGAATATGCTCCATGTGGCGGTCACGAAGAATACACGAAGATGCTTTATCTTCCTGGTCTCACCAGACGGTATGACAAACACACAGAGCGATATAATGACGAACAGATTATAGGCCGCTGAGCCGACTATGGTACCCGGACCCAATTCACCGGCTTGGAAGTTTTTCGCCCATATCTCGATGATCGAAAGTAATATCTCGGGGGCGCTACTACCTAGTGCCATCAGGGTGAGATTGGCGACGGTCTCGTTCCACACTCGTACAATAACTATTTGCGGCTCCCTCCCTGGTCTGCGTACGACGAGCTCCTTCTCCTTCGAAGTGATCACCTCGATCGCGGCCATGAAACGATCGCTGATTATCGATACTCCGATGAAGAGATATAAGAGCGCCAAGAAGTATATGGTACCGCGAAAGACAATGTCGACAAGTCCAATATTTGACACGGGACTCCATAGCGGGACCACTAAACCCGGTACACAGTGTACCGAGTAATTACCACGCATTTTTTAAATATACACTCTTTATAATCCTATACTTATTTACCTTCCCTCCCGCCCTTAACCACTCTCACTCTCGTTCTCTTTTTCTTGTCGTTATTCCCTCACCTTTCTCCGATACTCTACACCTCTTTCTCTCTCACTCCCCTTCTAGCATACACACACCTTCGACGACTTTTGAACACTCTCTCTCCCCCCTCCCTCCCTCTATATATCTCTCTCTCTCTCGTTCTTTCGATCTTACACTCTTTTTCTCGCCCACTTTCCGCACCTACATCGGATCGGCTACCTGGGGGAATCTCCACGACGAAACTCTCCCATCGCGATTATAAAGCACCAGCTAATCGCGCTACTAATGAATACTCACCACCGAACGCACGACACTTGTTAACCGAACCGCGTTCGACCGAACACTGAATACTCCGTCGGGTCTCGGAGCTCCCAACGGTTTTCTGCTACGGCGCTGGTTATTCCGTCGCCACTGCTGTGCCAACCCTCTTTTACGCTCTATAGTCCACTGTGCCATAGCTTGCTATACCCAGTTCAGTATACTATACCTCTATCCAGACATACTATATGTCTACGTACGTAGGTATCTATATATTCCATCCCTGGTGCTTTCCTTTCCCATTCTCCGACAGCATCCCTTTGGCTCCGTGAGCTACCCACTGTAATCGGCGCATGCGTATCTACTGGTTGCGTACCACCTAGTACGATCTACGGCTTGAGAATACCTCTCAGATAGAGCACACCCTTCGTTCCATGCGCTCTGCTGTACCCCGAGGACTTTAAAAGTACTTTTAAATTTATCAAAAGGATGTATAGAGTGTTGTACCCTTGCGATTCTTAGGATGGATTTTCATTTCATATCGCTATGTCTCTTTTTATCCTTGACCTAGACCATCCTCTATTCAACAAGGGTTCAGCCAAATTTCCTTCACACTGTCATGAGTTCTATTGTTCCTACCTTTTCGGTATGAGCGAGAGGAATGAATGGATGATTTATCAGGGTACGCGGATGTTTCAAATACCACCGAAAGCGGGTCGCTGCTACGACCCTTTTGTCGGTGCTTACTTCCGTGTTACAGTGGTGGGATTTTCTCTGGTAGCGAATCTCTTGGCACGAGATTTTCAGCTATACGATTTCGTGTACTGTATAGTCTTGCTGAGAGACATTGTTTTTCGCGTGGCACTAAGCTTTTAAGGTTTTCCGACGAGAAGTGGAGGTTTTTTGAATCTTTAGATTTTCAATTGAGATTTTAGAGGCTCGTTCTTTTGTTGTTATTTTAATATTCAAATTTACAAAATTCAGCTTTAGCAGGCAGTTTACAAGGATTAATATATGCAGATTACAGTATTCGTACAAGCGCAATTCAGTTTACTATAGCGTTGATTACCCGTTAGAACTATCGCTTATGATTAATCTAAAGCGAATCGTAGGTATATTCCTATTCCTTGATATATAACCGTTCACTGTATAATTCATAATTAAACGTTAAATGATTATAATAAAGATAATCGACCTTCGATTAAAATAATCCATATAGCTATAGTCGGTCCATGAGTTTGATGTGTTTTTTTTGACAGTTCATAAAGAATGCAATCCTTCGCAAATAACACGTGGATTCTCATAAAATTATTATAGTATACGATAAAATGAAATATATTTTAGTGCAAACCAATGCACAAGCATGCTTTATAACAAAAATTTTATGTAGCTTGCTAGAGACTATTATCGAACTGTCAAGGGAATACTGAACTGGTGGACCTGACTGTACGTAGATATCTAATATAATCTATTTAATTATACAGTAACGTACGACCACGATTAGTTCAATCAAAATGCTTTGAATTGTCCAAATCGTAATCGTCATTCCGTAAATATGGGCAATATTTGTCGCAGTCGTCCTCTCCGAATTCACAAGCGCACTTAGACGCCTCGCAATCACTTTCCACGTACAAAGTTGTATTTAATGGTAAATCGGTTAATGATCGTATCGTCAGAAATTTCAATGGATTTTTGTTCATGTACAGTCCCTTCAAAGATTTGACACCGATCAAAGACACGTCATCAAGACTTTCAAATTGGTTGAAATTAAGGTAAAGATTTCGAAGATTTTTTTGTGGTAACATCCAATTCAGTGCTAGACGATGCAAAGAGTTATTAGAAATATCTAATTCCATTAACATCGGCAATTTCGAAAAAGCCAGAGGTTCGATGTATTCAATCAAATTGTCGTTCAATTTGACATTCGTCAAATACGACATGTAGGAAAATGTATCCTTTGCAATTTTTCTTATAAGATTACTATTTAAATACAGATACGTCAAATTGTACAGGCGGCTTAGATCAGGAATCGTTGTCAGCAAATTATGATTTAACGAGAGATTAGAAAGACGCGAAATTTTACTGAACGTTTCTTCACGAATGTCTGCAATCGCATTATAAGAAAGATCCAAATTTAACAAATTAACAGCATTGTCGAACGTATCTGGTTCGATAATCTCGAGATCATTGTGAGACATCGACAGGGTCTCCAAACTCCATGCAAATTTAAGGGATAGCGAAGATTCGCTACAATATTTATTGCAAAGCATCTTTATATTGTTGCCGTCCAGAAATATTGCCTCTATGTACAACAATTGCCATACGGTCACGTGTTGAATTCCATTTCGCTCCAAGTAAACGTGTGTCAGGGAGTTCGATACGTTATTGAAAAAGTGTAACACGCCGTTCCCGATTTCATTGTCGGACAGAAAAAGATGCGTAAGATTCGGTAAATTCTGAGCGAAGCTCGGAAGTATTTCCACTATTCCGTTTTTACGAAGATACAAGTATTTTAGTTTTGGAAAATACCCAAGAGCTCCCAAGCTTCGATCGCGACTTATCCCTAAGAAGTCTATATTTTCGTCGAGGACTAAAGTCGTTAAATTATTAAAAGTGTCCACCGGAATCAGAACATTTGTTGGTATTTGATTTCGACTTAGATCGAGATAAATTAGATTTGGAAGTTTATCAAAAGCATTCGGCATTACGTTTTGAATCATATTATCATCCAGGCTTAAACATTCTATCTGAGGACTTTGAATGAATCCAGGATTAATATTCCTTAATCCACTGTTCGACAGTCTTAGAGACATATTCGCATTCGCGTCTTGACATCTTCCAAAGGGCAAAGACACGTTGATCCTTGAGAATAATTCTTCCGGACTGCGTCTGAATATGTGATTTCGAATGACTGGGTCTTCGTCGGGAAGATGAAGTATTTCGTGAAGAGAATTATTCGCATGACTTTCTGATAATGCAACAAACATGCACAGGACTATAGGAAGTCGAAACATGGCTGTTCTGTAACAAAGAAATTTCGATGAATTTATATTACTTTTTTTTATCGTTATTTCATTTATTGGAATTAACACGCGATTCGATATGCTAAGTGGTCTACTTCGTAGGTATACTCACTTGGAGATTCTTAACACTTTCACTTTTCGCTTCACTCTGACGACTGAACACCTAAGCTCTGAGCTTCTGATCGTTCAAACTCCCGACTGTCCGTCTGCCTGAAGGTAGGCGCGGACGGGGATTTATATACAGTAGAATTACCAGGTATGTAAGTTAGCTGAATGATAAATCGAAGGCATGAGGATCTGTGCCGGATGCGAAGGTTATCCTATGGTTGACCTAATATACGATAAGGTATATCAAAAAATGTTATCTTTTTGCACTAGGATAGTTTACTTGGTAATTATATATTCTATTTTGGTACTATTAAACAAAATTTATTTTATGCAAATACATCGTTATTTATTTTTATTCGTTATTCGTCTTATTGCATATTTCCATCAGATTTATTCCACGTAGTTCTTATCACGATTTATATCGGCTGACATCACGGCATTTTGGAAACTATCGTGATTTGCGTCTTTCACGTTTGTTTTTATTTTCCTTAATATCGTTCCGGTGCCCATGATTAATCAATTCGCAATATGATTGAAAAATGAGTAAAGTATTATGAACTAGTAAATATTTTATTATCAGCAAGTAACACCAAGTTGTATAAATCTTTTAAATAAAAGTTCTTTGACCTCAGGGTACAGTTTATCGCTGTACTGTGTTCGCAGTCTGATATTTATATACGTATTTACAGATTCATACTTTGTAACTATATTCCAGTTATTTTGTTCGATTAAAATATTTCATCATCGTGGCAAAGTTTCACCAACCATTAATTCGTTATATAAAGTACAGATTAGATTTATGAGAACAATTTCAATTTAATTTACGACGAATCTACCATCAGCTGCGATTGATCTTGTTACACTTGGTAAAAATTATAAAATTATCATTAAGGAAAAGGGATGGCTGATTTACCAAGGAATCAGATGTTCGAAATCCCACCGGAAGAGGGTTGCTACTCCGATCCTTTTGTCAAACTGTACTTCTGGTTTGTAATTGTAGGAATTCTTTCAGGTAGAAATTTCTTGAATCAAGATTTTCATTGATACGATTTCATGTATTCTTCTTAATTGTTAAATATTTTTATGATATAGAATTTTGAATATAGATCGGATCTTAGTGTGTACGCAGTATATGTAATTTACAGAACTTTCAAATTTGTTAATGTTTAAGTGAAGATTGTAAAAATTCATCCGTGCATAAACTGTGCGTTGTAGAATTCTCTAGTAACGATTATAATAATAAGGGTCATATAAATGTCGACAACGTATATTACACTCTTCATCTTTCCATACACAAACAGGCACCTTACATTTACGTTGTATATACAAAGTTGTATTTTCAGGTAGATACTCAAATGATTTTTTTGTTATGTATTTCAGCAGATTGTCATTCATGTGCAATCCCACCAAGGATATAATATCGGTAACTGCAATTTCATCAAGGCTTTCAAATTTGTTCATGTTCAAGTAAAGATTGCGAAGATTCATCTGCGCTAACATCCAGTTCAATGGCAAATGGTGTATCTTGTTATTAGAAAGATCTAATTCCATTAGCATCGGCAAATTCGAAAACGCTAGCGGTTCTACATATTCGATCAAATTGTTGTTTAGTGTGACGTTCGTCAAATACGACAAATTCGAAAACGTACCCCTAGTGATATTTTGAATGTAATTGTCGTTTAAATACAAATTTGTTATATTATACATTGTACTTAGATCAGGAATCGAAGTCAGCAGGTTATGATCTAAAGATAGATTAGCAAGTCGCACAGTCTCATTGAACGTTCCTTCACCAATGGTTTCAATTGCATTATGAGAAAGGTCCAAACTTAACAGATTATCGGTATCGACGAATGCTGTCGGATTTATAGTTTTAAGATTATTATGAGATATCGATAGAGTCTCCAAGTTCGATGCGAATTTTAGTGACAGTGACGATTGATCACAAATTTCATAACAAAGTGTCCTTATGTTGTTTCCATCTAGAAACAATGATACCAAATACATCAACTGCCAACCGACGATGCGTTCGATTCCATTACGTTCCAAGTAAACGTGAGTTAATGAATTCGGTATGTTATGTGCAAAATCTAATATATTATCTCCGATCGCATTCTCGGATAAATACAGGTAGGAGAGATTTGGTACATTCTGAGTAAAGTTCGGAGAAATTTTTGTTATTCCATTTTTACGAAGATACAAGTATTTTAGTTTTGGAAAATATCCAGTGACCCTCAAGAGTCCTCCGGGATTTAGCCCACTATAGGGAGAAGGTATATTTTCATCAAGAATTAAGGTCGTCAAATTCTCAAAAGTATCGACCGGCATTAGGGAATTCGTTGGTATCTGATTTCGACTTAGATCGAGATATATAAGGTTTGGAAGATTATCAAAAGCTCCTGGCACTAAATCATCAATCATATTGCCGTCGAGGCTCAAACATGATATGTAAGGACTATCAATGAATCCTGCCTTAATTTGTTTTAATTCTACATTCGAAAGTCTTAATGGTATATTTTCCTCCATGTCTTCGCATTTTCCGATTGGCAAATTTTCGTCGTTGGTTGAAAATAATTCATTAGGACTTCGTCTGGCTATGCGGTTTCGTGTTGTTTGGTCTTCATCCAGAAAATTAAAAATGTCATACACTGAATTTATGCCTTGAATATTTGATATTCCCGAATATATAAACAGAATCAGAAGAAAATAATACATGGTGCTGTTCTGTAACAAACGAATTGAAATTTGTCAATGTTTTTTTTCGAAAGATTCCGAACGTCATTATAAAAAACAAGGCTGATCGAGCGACAGTGTATTGAAATAAGCTTATGTAAAAATGGGGAAAAAGATAGTGAATAGCATATAAGATAAAGAATGTGATCGACAGTGGGAGACCTTGATAAACAGCATGACAAGGATTAATTAGGAAAATTAGGCAAAAAAGAATGAAAGTAAGGATAGACAAAAAAAATTAAATTGAAATTGAGATGAGTCAATTTCCTAGATTTGGATGTTAGTTTTTGCCAATAGATGAACAAAAGAATACATTCGAATAAGATATTAAAATTTTATATTTATGGATTGTTTATAATTGTTATTTGATCTGATGATTACCGCAAATGGTTCAATATTCAAATTTTGGAAATCTATTATAGATATGTACTTACTTGAGGATCAACCGGTTTGCTTCTTTCGCTTATTCTAACGACTGAACTTTGAAGTAATTTTCATCCTTTATACATATAGTGGAGGCATGATGGTCTACAAACCGTACGACGGGGTTATCATGTTATTGAGTTAAAATATGCGTTGTACGGGATATGATAATATTTTTAGGCCACCATTTTTTATTGAGATATTGTATACGCCTTCCGGCAATCACAATAATGCAGTTATTACAAAAAATTATTCAACGCTAATGCATTTCTTCAATGTATATAAAATTACACATAAGAGAACAATGTAAAGCATTTTATAAGATATACATAGTTGGACTTTAAGTTCGACTTTGAATTAATGTTATCAGTTATACTTATTATTAAAATTCCTATTCCTAGAAAATTCTTTAAGAACTTTATGATAAGATATTGTCGCATTTCACACCATATGAAAGATGCAAGTTTAAGTTTTTTATGTGACGCAATGAATCAGTATTTAACGTTTTTATAGGATTGTTCAACAAATATAAATTTTGTAGAGCAGAAGTGTTGTTCAAATAGAGATGATCCAAATCTTCGAAATAATTTTCGTTTAAATGAAGATCGGTAAGAAGGTTCAGTGATAAATTCCAGTCTGCTGACAGCTCATGGAGAATATTGTGCGAAAGATCTAATACTTCCAGCCTCTTTAGATTCTCGAATTTATCGAATTGTAGGTTGGATATTTGATTACCAGCTAAGTTAAGATACTTCAATGTCATCGTGTCACAGAAGGTATTTGCGCTCACGGATCTTATTTTATTATATTGTAAAGAGAGACTTTCAAGTTGTGGAAGACCGCATACATCAGGAATTGTACTTAGTTCGTTATGATTTAAAAACAGAGTCTCTAAGTGTAGTGTACGTGAAAAGATTTTGGTGTCTAAGTCACTTATTTGATTGTGTGACAAATTCAGACTTTTTAGATTATTCATATAACTAAATGCATCCGGGTGTATTTTCCTAATGTTGATATTCCCTAGAGACAATATTTCTAAATTGTTTCCATCGCGTGCAAACGGATTGTTGTAATTAGAATTAATATATTCAATATTGTTCCCATCCAATGCTAAAGATACAACGTTTGGAAAATCTTGTATACGAAAAGTTTTAATATTATTGTTTTCTAGATACAGGTGTGTAACAGACTCTGGAATAGAGGATATTGATTCCTCGTGAAAATTGTTATGTGAAAGAAATAAATGTGTGACGTTAGGAAATAGCAATTTCCAACGATAGTTAAATTTGGATAACTTGTTAGATCGTAAATATAAATACTTTACTTCTGGATATACACGAGAGATCGTTGGCCATTCTCCAGAATCATAAGAACGATAACCGTCGTAATTTTGAACAGTGGAATCCAGAACCAATACTTTTAGTTTCACAGGAAAATTAGCATATATTACATCTTGTACTGAAGGATTCAATGATAAATCAAGGTAGCAAAGATTTGGTAACCGCGCGAAAGCATCGCGTGCTATGGTTGATATACCATTTCCTCTTAAATTCAACGCAATGACGTGCGAACTTGATAAAAATTTCGAGCGGAGCGAATTTAATCCCATGCTTTCAAAATTAATGCTTATTCCGTTTTCCGTTTGATTACAAATTTCATCCAGGTATATTCCATCGACTGCGACAATGGACTCTGTTTCTTGACATCCCGCGAGCGCCAATAGAAAAACATGTAGAAACACTGTACTCCAGAGTTTTGATATCTTCACTGAAAAAATTGTTTCGATCATTTATACAAAATGGTCAATTGAAAGTTTCGGGCAATTTCGAACTTTTCTATCCTGAAGGTATTTTGAAAGACACGCCATATCGATAATTTGTCAAAATAGAATTTAATTTTAAAAGCACATTACACCTCTACCGTATTAAATAATTTAATTAAACTGTACTCACTCGTTTATGCTGTTCGATAAGTCTGGTTAAAACTCTCGCTTAGCTCAGACTTACAATGATTCAGGAATCACAGTCACACTGCGTCTGATACCGCGTGCCTCAAATGGCTGCTACTTATACCCTATGTGACTCCCTTTGGCACGAAACATGTGAGCCATTTCTCAGAAAGACGCGCTGAAGATATGTATAGCCTTACACATTCAAGCTTGTTTACTTACTCCAGAATGTTTCTGTAATTAAAGTAATTTAAAAACAATAATTGATATCATGAAGTTATTCATTTTCATTCGATTTAATGTTTGCGTACGGTGATAAACTTAATTCTTTACCAATATCAATCGAGTTCTGTGATGCGATCATAGTCTGAACTTAAATAAAAATATTTAATGTTAATGTGTGCGTTTTTAAATTTTCAAGCTGCCAATATGATTTTCGCATTCTGCATATAAAAGAGATATATAAAACATTCAATCGTTTGACTATCATTTAGATTTCCAGGAACAATTTCAATTTATTTCATAAACAACCAAGCATTGACAACGTTTCCTCTTTTTATACTTGACAAGCAACCTGAATTATCTCAATAAAGTTTTATAGAAGTCAATAATTATTCGGTTTTCCTCTTATTGTTATCCTCGACTTGAGACATATTTTGGGGGGTTATTTGGGCGCCATCGTGGTTCATCTCCTCTGCTTTTTGTTTGTAATTATCCTTGATGTCATTCCAGAGTCTCTGAAAGAAATGTATAAAAATAATTAACAAATGGAAATATTTACAAATGTAAAATCGTTCTATATTAGATTGATCTCGGTTCACTTAGCCAATTATCTAAATTAACCTCGGAGGTCAGAGATTGTGAGACCGAATGAATAATATCAACATCATTATAGACTAAGATTATTATTTCTAATAATATCACGATAACGTACCCCCCGATTCAGTTCCTCGAACATATATTCGCATGCGTGATCGAATGCCCGTTCGAAGAAAAATGCACCAACCACCATCGCTAGGGCAAATGTCGAGCTGCGTTTGCATACGAACTGATAAAATGCCCGTCCAGCCATTCTCCAAACTGATATTCAGCTGTTTTATAGCCGAGAACTGTAATCAGCTGCATTACGTGTGCTATGCATCTTTCATTTAATTTAATTCGATATTCGAGTCGATAATCGATTATAAACATCTCCCCGCAAAATTTCTAATTCGTGACAGACTTACGTAAAATTTTTATTCGCTTATAAAAAAAAGTCCATTGGACGCAAAATATAAATAAAAAATTAATATTTATGATTTATCATGTCAATCCCAAAGGAAAATGACGAAAGGACATGGAAAAACGATAAGAAGTTACAAGAGGATGAACTGTAAATAATTAGTTAATATTCGCGTTTTATTTTCTTAAAACAAAAATCATCAATTTCAGTCCACCTGAATATGAAATCAAGAAAAAAGTAGGTCAAATCTGCAATTCGAATTTCTCTACGGGACCTGCTGTAAGCTTGTCCCTGAGAAATTCTCAAAATGAGAAAATAATAATCGTCCTTATTGCTCTCGGTCCTTTATCTAAAATGTTTCCCCTTGTGACTTCAATTTCGTAGGTAAAGGCTGACAGTCGAGATTTGATTTCCACGAGGTAGATTAGATAACACTATTAGAAAGTACTCCGAGAAGGCTTTCTAGCGATAAGAACACTACGTATATCTCGATAAGGTTATTTTCATGAAACGATATTCGAGTAGGTATCGCCAAAGAGAAAACGAAGGACCCCTGCTAAATTCGATTTGTCAATCGGGATCAGATCATTTAAAAATCGCGTAAGCTCTTGACTACGGTATCATTGATTAATTTCTGCATATTTAGACTAACCCTAAAGTAACATATATTTTTAGATCCGAGAGGTATGACTTCTTTGACACGGTTAGTCCGAAAGAACAAGAATCAGGGACAGAATACCACGGCAATGCAATGGCTCAACCCTTGTCTTGTGTACAGATGGAAAATTCAGCCAAGGATCAGATTAAGGATGCGGACGATAAAAGGTTGCAGGATATCACGGAGAGAAGAGAAATGAAGAATTACGATGCAAAAACCGAAAGGAAAATGTGTTATATGCTTAACTGTCCTGTGAATAAGAAATTGAAGCATGAGAAGTTGTGCAACACTGACGAGTGTCCTGCGGTGATAAGGAAAAAGATAATCAAGGAGACGAAAAAGTCAGAAAAGTGCAATAAAAAAAATCCTTTAATGATTTTAGGGTAAATTGATTTTTCGAAAAATCTCTTTTTTTAAAAGAAATTACGTTTGTCAAACTTTTTCTATCTTTTTAGGGAAGCCGTAATAAACACGTGAGTATTACAGCTACATTTAGTTCTTTTAAAAGAGTCCAAACTTCTGCTGCAGATTCATGGACAAGGAATCCAGCAAGCTATCAAAGAATGAAAAAAAATGGAAGAAAAAGTACAATTTAGAAACACCAAATGAACAATTGCAGGATTTCAATAACAGCTGTTGTCAAACCAAGGACAAACTGAGCTATGAACATCGATATAAATATTTATCGCAGCAAGAAGATTCGAACTCTTTGCTCGAATTTTCAAAACCAGTAACCACCTCTTGTACCACACTGAAATATCCTATTTCGAAAAACCATGAAGTAACTAAAGAATTAATAGAGAAATCTAATTATAACGACGAACAGAGTCAATTAAATTACGCTATGCAGTCCAGGTATTTAAGATCTCTTTGCTTAAGTAGATAAGGATAGAAAATTAACAATTCATAATAAATTTGCAGCATCCTCGAAACGATCCCATTTGCAAAGCTTTAAAGTAATTATTTTTACAAGCGTGTCCTCCATATTTCAGGAGTGCCGACCCTTTAGTGATTCACCGATCCAAAGACGTTCATCACGTTTATATTAGACTTAATAATCCTAGTCCCTTTGAACCGGAAGTAGGCGCGTGGAGTGTCCGAGACACTTCAACTCGATGCTTTTCAAATGGATTACAAAATCGCGTGACCGTTAGGTTTAATCGAAGTATTTCGCAACGTAGTTAAATACCGAGATCGAGTTTGAATTACGTACATTTCTAACCTAAAAAAATGACCAAACCATATCAAGTGAAGTAATCTTTGTTAAAATAACCACTTAACTAGTCTTCAATGGGAGTCTCTGTTTTTGAGCTTTTTCTAGATTATCCTCGACAGGATATTGAATCTGCTGCACAACCATAATAACTTTCCTTTGTACGTTCAGACTGAACAGCTTGAGAGGATGTCCAAATACACCGTGTAAACTAAAGGAGAAGGATGAGATATATTTTGCGAAGCACGTACCTAAGGAAATCAAAGAAAGAAGCCCGCAGCTTCTTTTGAGCTGTTATGAAAATTATAGTGCGTCCGAGAGAGATGGAAATCCCAGGTACGTGGGAGCGGATATAATCGAAATGAAAGAAATTAGTGGAGAAGGAGTGCCAAGGAGAAATGAAATGAAAGGAGAACGGACGGCGTTGGATGCCGGAAAGGGATCGGAAATTAAGGGACAAGAAAAACTGAGTGTAATTGCTCCTCGCGTACGAGGGTCATTTAATGAGGAGAGAACGTTCTGTTCTTCAGGAAATATTAATTATCTTGAGGAGAAACTCACGGAAAGGACAAGGTAAGCTATCGTATGATATTACTTGTCCTATTAGGGTAATATCCTTGAAATTCTTATTTTTAGATCAAAACAATGTAAGGGATGTTCCAATTCGTTATCCGAAACAGCAAATAACTTTAGTGAAAGCTACAATGATAAAATGGACAGGTCGTACTTGGTTAATGACGTTGCAGTTAAAAGTGACCTAATACCAAATTCCCACGCATTTCCCGTATTGTTAAAAGATAAAGAATGTTTGGAATCTACAGGATTTCGAAAACGAATAAGATCGGATAAGTCTGACATAGGTAATGGAATGTCTGTATGATCGATATTAAAGAATGCATCAATAATAATAGAAAAATGTGTACCATCGAATAACACACTAAAATTACGTAAAAGACATAGGTACTATATCACCATTGAAAGCTGTCGCGGATGTGGATGTGAGGGAAAATAAAATTTCAAAAAATAACGACAACTCCCCGTCGGGACAGTCCTTTCGTCCAGTGATAAATTGGAATATGGACCAGGCGCCAGTTCCAAAGGAAATCGATGCACGTGCCTCCAATAAATTCGATGCTACGAAATTGTCCAATAGAAACAATGGCATTGACCATTTTGAGAATATACCATTTTACGAGAAGAACGGGACTGCTGTGTACGCTCTGAGTAATTCTCGATCTGAAGAAAATAATAAGAATCCTCCAGACCCAACAGAAGGTAGTACGATAGTTGGAAGATTTGACAGATAACACAAGAAATTGTCGAACCACCATTATGACAGGTTTAGAATATTCCTCAAAGAGAGATGAGAAACCATTCCGAAATTCTTTGAAGAATCTGAGACAAACGAGCGCAGATAACCTAATTAAGAAAGCATCTTCGAAGAAGGTAACGATATCAGAGGAAGACGCGGATTCGGATTGTTATACAAATTCGTCTGACATTCCACCTGCAAATAAAGTATCAGTCCATTTGTTGGACGGAACGAAAAGAAAGTAAAAATTTATCTGTTAAAAATATAACGTACAAAAAGTATAGCACGTTATGCTCAAGTTGAAATTGTTTTATTCAGCTATCGGAATTTTTCTGAGGACCCTAATATTATTGAACATAATGAAGTTCCACGCAATAAGGTTACCTTCGTGGGAGCAAATAGTATCTCGTCTGCCTGTGCAATGAGTCTCATATTAAAGGTAATTCCTTAATGATATTAGGGCAGAGTAAAATATTATGTTTTATTTACTATAAGGTTACGTCGTCTATATTATAATCTATGATATTTCTCCCATAGGATATTACGAGAGAAATAATGTTTTACGATGATCAGTCTGTCTCCAGATTATTAGACGACACGATAGACATTCGACGTGCCTCTTCATACACGGAACAATCAAATATCCTTTGTAGCAATGGTGACGGAAAGCTAATAAAATTATATTAAAAATATTTTAATCACGTCCTCTATAAATTATCATCACTCTCAGTTCATTCTCTACAGATCCAACGGACACGGCTACTTCGCAGCTTGTAATAATAATCGGTGAAAATGCCAGTAAGAATCAAAATAAAATGAACGTGGTAAGAAAGAATATTCAGAGGTTAAATAACTACGTAAGGAATTTAGCAGAACATAGTCCAGAAGCAGTGTTCCTGGTAGCCGTAGAACCAGGTACAGTGAGTGATTAATTTTCACGTGTAATCGTTGCAGAATATCTGTAGAAAAATATTTTAATTTCTAGTTGATCTAATGAGCTGGGTTGTATGGAGAATGACACAGTTACCTTCGAATCAAGTAATAGGAACCGGTACGAATCTTGACACTGTTAATTTGCGTAATCTTCTTGCAAAAAAAGTCAATTTGCCAATCAACATCATTGACGCTTGGATTATCGGTGAACGAGGAGAAAATTGTCTTCCTGTATGGTCGAGTGTTAACATGGTTGATTCCAAATTGAGTCACTTGAGTGGAAGTCAGATAGCCGAGGAATGGTCAGACATACTCGAAGCCTTCGTGCGTGGGTAAGTGCAGAGGATCCCGGTATTCTGGGTCAGTTCAAGAGAATTTGTGATAAGACACATTCTTGTAGAAATGCTGATACAAATTCTGCGAGAGGCCATCTGGAGTGGACTGTTATCATGAGTATAGTTGATCTTTGTCAGACTATATTGCAAAACAGAAAAAATGTGCATTCAGTATCCACACTTGTTGGGGTAAGTTTGTAATTTAGTCTGTTACTTATTTTTTACGTAAAATGTTCTGTCAAAAATTATTGTAGGGACACTATGATGTGGATTTAGAAGTATTTCTTTCCGTACCTTGTAAAATATCTGCAAGGGGAGTCCAGAATATAATTAAGCTTCGTTTAACTAAACGAGAGAAGGAATTGTTTAAACATTCGGCAACAGTCTGCAAAAAAGTGTTGAATGACTGCCAGCTTAATTTACCGGCAGGTGATGTAATTGAAGTGCCGGAAGAAGACGAAGAGGTCTTTTCATCGTTTCCTGTCAGAAGATAAATTTTTTGATAATCAGTACTGATCGATAAAAATATACTAATAAATTAACGTTCGAATAGTCATTCTTTTATTACATCGAAACTTTATACAAATTATAATCTATCATTGCAGATACTATCACACAATTCTAAATCTCGCAATGTATTTAATAAAATAAGTAATGTAATCCGTTTTCTATAGTGAGAAAAACAGTGTCTTGGTACAGTTATATGAAAATTAATAATATATACAAGAGCTATACGCGCAAATACAGAGAATGTCCATAACAGCACGAATAGACATTGTTCTATGAGTCTCCTTTGATGACATAAGTTCTAAACACGCACGTCACTGAAACTTTGTACTTGTATAGACAAATATATTACAATGTCTATATCTTTCTCGTGCTAGATCCTTGAGCAACCTTCATAAATTGCTCTAAATTTCTCATTTACATTATTATAAAATATTCTGTTGTGTTTTCACGATGTCGATACGAAATTTTTAATTATATTATTTCCTGGAGTTTGTAAGACTTTGCGTGACAACCTTATGAGCCCTGAGACTGGATCTCTTCCAAAATATTTAACTTGTAGTTCTTGACCTACTTCAAGACCTAATGCGGATGGATGGCTAATCTTGCGTTGATCTAATTGGGAATTATGAAGCAGCGTTGGATTCATAGTGGGATACAAAGTAACCATAACGCCAGTCTCGCGAATCTCAACTATCTTTGCCGTATAAATACCACCAAAGTCAAGAGTTGGCTCGCGCGATTGTGACATTAAATTCTGAATCATTTCCTTTGCTTCATCCATTGCCGCTTGATTAGGAGCGAAGATGGTATATATATTTTCATCTGAGGGATGTATCTGCAAATAACGATTTTTATACATATAGTGTGATAAAAGGAAAGAAATTGATGCATTTTCCACAAAGATGACAAATAATAAATATAAGAGATGCAAATACTTACGTGGACTCCAGTCTCGACCAGAATCTTTTTTAAATTTGAACCTCCCACTCCGAGGAATTTACCTCGTTGATGAACAGGTACTTCAATGTCTTCTGTAACGGGCAGATTGTCTTTCTTTTCAGATCTAGGCTTAGCAATGACTGTGTTCATAATATTAATAATTTGTGATTTAGCGTCTAAGGCACGAGATATGCTCTCCATTACGATTTTTAATGGAAGACCAGGAATCTTTATGTCAGCCTGCAAAGCAGTAAATCCTTTTTTTGTTCCAGCTACCTTAAAGTCCATATCTCCCATGTAGTCTTCGATACCCTAGTGAACAAAGAATATTTTTCTGTACATACATTTCTCTAGACGGTATGAAAATACTGAGTTGCAACAATGAGATTAGGTACCAGTAAGTCTGTAAGTATCCTGTAATCTTCAATTTGGTGTGACTTTTCATTATATTTAGTAATTAAACCCATTGCAACACCCGCTGCTGCAGAAGATATAGGTACACCAGCATCCATTAGAGCCATACTTCCTCCACAGACAGATGCCATGGATGAGGAACCTTTAATAGAAACAGCACTACTAAATTTAGTTGATATTATTAAATCAATTTGATATACGAATCACAATGCAATAACCGTATTACCATTTGACTCCAGAACTTCACTGGTAAGTCGTATGGTGAATGGATAATCTTTTGGAAGGACAGCGCGTAAGCCTCGTTCAGCCAAAGCCCCATGGCCCATTTCTCTTCGACCTATAGGACCCATTCGTCCTGTTTCGTTAGTGGCATATGGTGGGAACTCGTAATGCAAAAAGAAATTTTTCTCTTTTACTCCACTAAAGAGAAAAGGGATTTAACAAAATGTATTTTAATATCACTAAGTCAATTGTACACACCCTGCTAACATGGATATCGGATCCATTTTTAAGGCACTCTCAACAGAGTCAAGAGTTACGGTGCAAAAGACTTGTGTTTGGCCTCGCTGAAACAGAGCTGATCCATGCAGCGGTTTATACAGATTTACTTCACACGTTATATCTCGGATTTCTTCTAGTTTTCGACCATCGCATCTGTAACATGATTGATTTGGAGTTCAACAATTTATAGTATGGATGACTTGTGTGTTCAAGTAAAATTCAATACCTTATCTCATTTTCGAAAATAAGGGATCGGAAGATTTGTTTACTAATTTGTCCAAAAGCCTCCACCACCATAGGGAGGTCCAAATCGGAGTAACTCTTTTTCATACTTTCCATAACGTCCGTTCTAACATTATTAACAGCTGTATCTCTTGATATCTTGTCGTGTTTATAGTCCGTAAATATTTCACGAAGTTTCATTTCTGATAGAGATCTGACAGTATCTATTAATTCTTGAAAACTCTCAGGAACAGGTGTTACATCTCTTTTTGGTTTTCCATGTCCTTTTTGTAGCTGTTGTATTGAAGTAACAATACCCTGACATTCCTTCACACCAAGCTTGATAGCTTTTTTTAAATCTTGCTCCAAGATATTCTCTGCTGATGCTTCCATCATAATGACTAAATTTTGGCTTGTAGCACTTACAATAAGATTCAGTAGGCTTTGATGCATTTCTCGTCGGGTTGGATTAATTATTACTTCATTATCAATCAACCCTACTCTAACAGCACCAACAGGACCATTCCATGGTACATCGGACAAAGCTAAAGCAGCAGACGCACCATTAATGGAAAGTACATCTGGGTCGTTGATACCATCTATTGCCAACATGTTACACATTATCTGTGTCTCATAAGAATATCCTTGTGGAAAAAGTGGTCTAATTGATCTATCTATTAGACGACTTGTTAAAATTTCATACTCCGTTGGTCCTAGTTCCCGCCGTAGAAAATTTGTAGGAATACGGCCAGCTGCAGCTCCTTTTTGTTTATAGTCTACTACCAGAGGTAGAAACGAAGTATTGGATGTATAAGTTTTACTGACTGTCGTAACCATAACAGAGGTATCTCCGAGAGAAGCCACAGCACATCCATCAGCAAAACGTGCATATTTACCTGTGGAGAGCCTAAGGTTCCTCCTAAATGAATTAGATCATTTGAAGTAAATGAAGATTATATATCTTGAAAAATACTTAAAAAATGTCTAAGCAAGTATGCTATTAATTGATTACACTTGCAAAAGTTTGAAATCTTTATTTAAACGCAATAAATAAACAAATGTATCAATAACAAATTTTATTAATTAACGATAACATGCTTTTCTTTTAAACCATAAATACATCGTCACACCATTGATGAAGACAATGAAGAATATTATGAGTATAGGTCGAACGTTTAGTTCATCTAGACATCATTTGTAAAGTCATGTTCTGATTAAATATTTTTTTTTATCTAAAGGATGCTGTGCTACAGAATTTACGTAAAGGAATTGAAGGTTAACATAAAAGATAATACGATGTTCTTACCCGTTAGGCAATGGAACAACCACTTCGGATTCATTGAATGATTTATGCGTACTAAATCTAATTAAGGATAAATAGTCTTTTTTCCAATGGTTCTGGTCTGATATACGTATTAATTTATTATGTTTCAATAACCTACAACTTGAAAACGTTGCCATTCCTACTTGATGAACCGGTATCTTTTGAATGCTCCATTGATGCTGTAACCTTAATAGACTGAAAACCCTCTATATAAAAACAAATGTTTGAGGCGACATCACGTGGTGACATATATTTCCATTGTAAATGGACCTAAAGATACGTCCCTAACAGTTCGCATGAAAGTCAAAGTCAAGTTTAGCATTTTCATAATTAGCACCAGAGATGAGTAGAGAGATGCACAACGCTGCGGTTTTAGGCCAGAGATGAGTAGGGAGATGCACAACGCTACGGTTTTAGGCGAAACCAAAAACATGGCCCTAAATCGTGGCGGCGAGTCCGGGAGTAGGATTTTGTGATCATCACCTCCGTCGATAATGCATGTCCCGTCGTAGCCGAGCTGAACGTGATCACAAACGTATAGTTTGACGGGCAGAGGTTCTCCGGAATATACCGCTGGTTCCCAGAGCAACCCTTAGAACGCGGCCGCTCATCAGATATTGCCAAAATATTTTTTTTGTAATCTTAAATTCGAGTGCACATTATAAGCTCGATAATATTTACTAAGCCAAAAGCCAGCACCTGATGCCTGCTTGCGTTAAGGAGTGCAGCGATGGGGTGCTAGATTCCAGAATTATTTAACAATAATTCCAAGCGGAACTATGGTCCCAACATTGAGTACTAGAGAGAACTATTCCGGAACTGTTTGAAACATAACCTGAAAACAACACTGAAAGCCAGCTCCTTATGCATACCTGCACTGAAGCATATGGTGCAACTAGTATCCTTAATAGGTATTTTAACGATGTTACGTAGCAGAACTATTGTTAAAACCTATTAGGAACTATAGAACTCCTCGAAAACTATTGAAAAAGCCTATTGTTTAATCATTTTTAAGAGATTTTAAACAAGGGCGGTGCTGGAGCTGACACCCGTGTACCACCTTAATTTTTGTAATGTTACGTAGCAGAACTATTGTTAAAACCTATCAGGAACTATAGAACTCCTTGAGAACTGTTGAAAAAGCCTATTGTTCAATCATTTTTAAGAGATTTTAAACAAGGGCGGTGCTGGAGCTGACACCCGTGTACCACCTTAATTTTTGTAATGTTACGTAGCAGAACTATTGTTAAAACCTATCAGGAACTATAGAACTCCTTGAGAACTGTTGAAAAAGCCTATTGTTCAATCATTTTTAAGAGATTTTAAAAAAGTGCGGTGTTCCCTATAGTTAGTTGTGTAGCGTATAGTTGTATAGTGTAGATGCATAGCGTACGTATTATCGACGGAGGCGATGATCACGAAATCCTACTCCCGAACTCGCCGCTACGATTTAGCGCCATGCTTTTGGTATCACCTAAAACCGTAGTGTTGTGCATCTCCCTACTGATCTCTGGTATATTCACCCGCTTCTGCCATTCGCATTCGCTCTTGATTGTTCGTGATCCTCCGTGACTAGCGTTTGTGATAAGTCGGCTTCAGTTAATTTTGAGTTGTTTCCTTTTGGACCAACTGTGAACTTTGAAGGTAAAATTCATATTCCGTTACAGTCACTATTAGATTAGCTATACGCCAAAATTATATGACATAAGATAATAGTACGCTTTTATTAGTTTTGCAGTGTCATGATAGTTAACCTCTAATAAGATTTTATATACTGTATTTGAATATTGTATCAATTATTGAAAGCATTTCATAGATTCCAGATTCTGTGTAATTGTATAGCTTTTTAAACTAAAAATTATATTACGTTCCTCGTAATTTATGAATGGGTTGGTTTAACTAATAAACCTGTCACAATGTGTTGACGGTGAATTTACTTGTAATAATTTTTTTAATTTGCAGATGTTTCTGACACGTTCAGAATATGATCGTGGTGTTAACACGTTTTCTCCGGAAGGTCGTTTATTCCAAGTAGAATATGCAATTGAAGCTATCAAACTAGGATCCACCGCCATAGGTATTGCAACTTCGGAAGGTGTAATCTTGGCAGTGGAGAAACGTATTACTTCTCCATTAATGGAACCAACAACAGTAGAAAAAATTGTGGAAGTTGACAAGCATATTGGTTGTGCAGTCTCTGGTCTAATGGCAGATTCAAGAACAATGATCGATCGGGCTAGGGTGGAATGCCAAAATCATTGGTTCATTTATAATGAGAAAATGACAGTAGAGTCAGCAGCTCAAGCTGTATCCAATCTTGCAATACAGTTTGGGGACAGTGACGATGATGGCAGTGCCATGTCTAGGCCATTTGGTGTAGCAATATTATTTGCTGGAATTGATGAAAAAGGACCCCAACTTTTTCATATGGATCCATCCGGTACATTTGTTCAATTTGATGCAAAAGCTATTGGATCAGGTAGCGAAGGTGCACAACAGTCACTTCAAGAAGTGTATCACAAGGTATCGTGCACTGCAGTATATCATACAAGTCCTAAACCTTTTTATTCAAAAACTATTTTTCTGCAGTCAATGACACTGAAGGAGGCAACAACATCAGCATTAACAATCTTAAAGCAGGTCATGGAGGAAAAACTGAATGAAACCAACATTGAAGTAATGACAATGACACCAGGAGCATTCTTTCATATGTTCTCCAAGGCAGAGTTACAGAAGGTGATCAAAGATATAGCTTAAAATTTTCAAATAGACTCGACCTAATAAATTCATTGCTGATTGAAAAGTGCATCAAAGAATTGCATAATTGCGGATTGTATATAGGATTACGCATCGCGGTGATTGTGTTATTCATATACAATCCTTTCTCCCTTTTCATAATATAAGCATTCTCACAGGAGATTGGCACAAAAATATACAAAAAAAAAGAAGATAACCAAAACTATTTTACGTTCGTTTAAAAAAATCCTTATCTCCTATTTTTCCAATATGCCTTATTAATTATTTACCCTCTTGTCGCGTCAGTCATTTTTCCAATATGAGATTTCGATTTCAGATTTATACCCTCGTGGGTAACGACGTACAATTTAACTTGTCATAGAAAACATATAGAATCAGTGTTATCACTGTTTTCTGTATATTTACTGCAATGTCAACTTAATGGGATATTGCACAATTTACTATTACGAAGGTTTTATTTAATCATGTTTTCTCGGAATACTTTAATCCAGATCGTAGAAAATCTGCCGAACGCGAGGGAAGAAGCACCAAAACCACGATCTGACAGTGGTGCTACTCCGAGCATCAAGCCTGCAGCCATTAGTAGCGGATAAAGAAAATACCAGATTATCGTCTACTATTACCAAGCTTAACTAACACGATTGTCACATTGAAATCCTTTATTCATTGGTCATCATTATTTACTAATAAAACAATCAGACCTAATTGATGGTTGCGTTATTTCTATAAATTGTGCAGTCGTGCCTTTTTAACGCTTTTGTTTTAAAAATTTCGTATTAATTAAAATGTATCACCTTTTGGAAATGGTATGCACTATAATAAAATCGTTAATTAAGATAACATTATTACCGTATAATGATTTTTTGAATGTTCATGTTATATTATTTATTAACAAATTTTTATATACACAATGAAAGTAAAATCCAAAAAATTGTTAAGGTATGATTTTTTGGAATTGAAAAAATAATTGGTATACATTCCTCACTTTTATATAGAGGCAGGATTGTCTATTTGGAATAGGCCGAGTCGCCCAGTTAGTGGTTCGCTTTCGATTAAAAGCGCCCTGAATGCCCGTATCCGAAATCAATAATTAATTTTGCCCGGGAGTGCAAAAGCGAGCAGAAATGGCTGGCGCCGGTGCTGCGATGTTACGATAAAACGTCCCTTTTTATCCCGTCCTCTCTCGGCTGCGAGATTATTGGATATTATTCCATTTCAAGCGTTCAATCCCGGTACGATTCGCTCACTTGAATTCCCGTAGGAGGCTTTGCTGACACTCGCTGATTGTGGGAGGCGCTTAAAACGTATTCAAGCCCAAATTGACGCGCTCGTACTACTCCAGGACGCCAGAGAAAAGCAGACAGACGGTTTGCAATAGACAGACAGAGACAAATATACAGAAAGACAGACAAATGAAAAGAGAGAGAAATATAAAAAAATATATAATATCAATTCTAAGCTGATAAGCCGATAGTAGAATTTTTAATCCTTACGTTACCCAAATTGTTTCTAATAAAAATATAAAAATTATATTCCAACTTTTTACTTATTCAACATTATGTATGTATGCATGTTTTCAAGTTCATTAAAGTGTCAAAAAGGAAATCTCAGCAAACAATAAGTACCTGTAAATCCATAGCCTGAAAGGGAATCCTCAATGGTGAAAAACGGTGGCGATACACGCAGCAATAAGGGTGGCAAAATGGGGTGAGTGAAGGGACTGAGAAGGACTCTGTAATTAACTGCGATGAGAGGCGGGATAGTCCCGTTTGAATCCCTGAGAATCCCGTGGGACCTGACCCGTCGTATCAGACGCCAACACTCACTCCCGCCGCCACGTTCAAGTTTCGCTACGATAATTGCCTTCGCTTCACAGTCGCGCCCGATATCAGCAGCAACGGCTGGAAACGCCACGATGGCACGAACAAAATGAAACCCAGACAAATTTAACTTTATCCGTTCTACTGGTAATATGGATATTGTTACTTAACGGTGTTTGTACAACCGATTCAAAAAATAATAATGACAAATGGCTCAACGTAGCTTAACCTATATGCTTTACCTAGTGTAAACGATAAATGACTTTACGCATAAGAAACGATAAACCTGCTTCCTTATTATTAGAGAAGCCTCCGTAGAAAACCGGAAGTACAAAGTACATACATAAATAACAGTGCAGGCTTACGTATTCCCGTATATGTATATATAACACGGTTATAATTCACGCATGGCAGAATCGTCGCGATTTTTTTCACTTTCACAAAACTGGCCGCATGGCCGGTCACAGCAAGATGAACAACTGCTTTTGTATAAGCGATACTCACTGTAGATTATTTAACTATAATATACGGGGTGCTTGGCTCATTTTCGTATTACGTTCTATACTGTGTATACTGTGTCACAATGATCTCGAAACACGGTATAAAATATTGAATTGCCATTGAAAATTCTGAAGCACGCACAAAATGAAAATCTTATCGTGTCGATCTATAGCCAATTAGTAAGTAAATTAATCAGTGAAAATAAACTCGCGTTCAGTCAATCGTTCTTACTTGACCGTGGCCAATAGGTATGATAAAATTCAGATCTCTCCACCTTGCGTCTGCACTCGAGTTCATGATATAGTAAAATTAAAATAATACGTTCGACTCACTGGTCTTTACGTCACCTTAATGGCGGCTTTTAACATATATGAGATCTGTGTATGGGTATAAATGACGTTAAAGAGTGTATGCATAGAAACTGCAGGGAAAGTGCACTTTCTTCGCTGATGCAGCGCAGCTTACCGAGCGTTTCTTAATTGCGGTATAGTAATGATTAAGATTTGTTCGAATCGAAAGTCTGAGTGGATCTTGATATCGATTAAATTTAATAGGTATATTTTCCTTTTTTGGTTGGCAACCGTTACGCTTTGAATTTTGGAATTTTTGTACAAATTGAATACCTATTTAATTATTGAGTCTTTTAATAACGGATGATATTAAGTTTTACTTATTACTTTTAATCAATCGATCACGAAGAAAATAATAGTTTTTAAGGCAGCGCTCATTATTCTAGTGAAAAATGAACAAGCGTGGCTTCGCGTGACGTATTTGCATTTCATTGCGTTGAAAGAACCTTCGGTTCTTCAGAGGAAATCGATAGGATCTATTTCCTGGCAAATAATACTGAGCACTGCGATAAGTAACATGGGAAATGAGAATAGAAAGTCTTAAACATTTTACTCTTGCAATTGTCTAAGGTATAGTGTATCGCTTCTTCAGAATTATCCTTTATCTATTCTCAATTTATCACTATTTTTTATTCAATCATATTCAGTGCAGGATTTAGATTCTAATCTTTTTTAAGGCCTCGTTATATTTTTCTAAGCACATAAATTGTAGAGTATTTAAGGATAAATTTACAGTGGGATATTTGTTAGTATATACGTATATATACACAAAGAAAAATATTTATTAAAATTTATTTAATACATAAAAACATTAAACCATCCATACAGGTACTTTGACTAATGCAATTTCAGTTCTGTTATAACAGGCTTTTTATGGACGTTAAGTTATTATCTTATAAAATACGGCTAGATCGTGGTTCACGTCTCTTTGGAGCACCTGTTTATAGCGGAAGTAAACATAAGACTGTTCAGGGGCGATTTTGGATAACTGCCATAATATATATGAATATATATATGCCGGATATAATTTTTCAATGTTCCGAAATTTTCACAAACTAGTCAACAATAAAACCTTCGACTTAGATCTACGATTTTTCTAAAAAAATATCTAATCACCCAATACATAATTTATTACACTGAATCAACCGTGATGAGAGTAGGACGACAAATCATAGCCACCCTCAGAATAACTCCCGTCCTGGGATTCATAACCACCACCATTGCCACCATAATCACCGCCTCCAAAATCCGAACCGTGTTCCTCGTGTTTAACGTGTACTGGAACAGCAACAGGTACTTTAACCGGCACTGGTACCTCTTTCTCAACAGGATAAGGTACTTCCTTCTCAACGATGTACGGTTTGTCAACCGGGACCTTGACGGGATAAGGAACCGGTTTTTCTACGGGATAGGGTACTGGTTTAGCCACGTGGTAAGGTTGAGGAACGGGAACCTTAATATGAACAGGATACGGTTTCTCAACATGTACAGGATAAGGTTTATCAACATGTACCTTAACTTCATAGGGTACAGGTTTTTCAACGGTTACTGGATAAGGTTTATGGACTGTTACGGGATATGGTTTCGGTACATGTACTGGATATGGTTTATCAACATGAACCTTCACTTCGTACGGAACTGGTTTCTCCACGGGATAAGGTTGAGGTACTGGAACCTTAACCTTTACTGGATAAGGTACATGTTTCTCAACAGTATATGGTTGAGGTACAGAAACCTTAACAGGTACAGGAATATGTTTCTCCACTGTGTACGGTTGAGGTACGTAGACCTTAACCTCGTACGGTTTATCTACGGGAAACTTGACCTCGTACGGGACCTTCTTCTCCACGGTATAAGGTTGAGGAACGTGCACAGGTACTTTCACGTATACCTTCACGGGATAGGGTACATGTTTTTCAACTGTGTAGGGTTGCGGTACCCCAACCTTCACCTTATAAGGTACATGTTTCTCTACGGTGTAGGGTACATGCTTCGCGACCTCGTAAGGTACTGGGACCTTCTTCACTACTGTTACAGTCTTCACGTGCTCCTGCTGATCGTAGCTGCTACTTCCACCACCGTCTGATCCACCGCCGAAGTCGTGACCTCCTGATCCGTAACCATCCGACCCATAACCCCCTGAACCGTAACCTCCAGCATCTCCATAGCTACTGTACAGTCCACGTTTCTCCGTCTTCTTGTCGCTGGACGATGACTCCGAGTCCTTTTCCGGGGATGTGCTCTTAGTTCCAGTGGAGTCCTTCTGTGATACTTCCACACAGCGTGCCGCAGTGGCCAAGGCTACTAGGCCTATCAAGATCTGAATTCAAGTAATCAGGAATGTTGAGTCAATGAAGGTTATAACTCGTACCTCGTTTAGGTATCCGTATGTTTATCTACGTTATTTGTGATCCTCATAATAATTCCCTGTTTACGCATACCCGCATGTTCATGTATATACCTTCCCCACGGCTAATACACTATCCCCTGTCTTCTAGTTTGCCACTGGTGGGCCAGAGTGATCGACCAGATTTGATAATGAACCCAGTTGACGTTCATTTCGACCAAACGCTAATAGTTTGTGCACATCAATTATCCACACGAATATAAAACCGGATGAATTTAAATACTTATTCGAAAAATTATTTATTTCCCTTGATCATCGAAATACCGTAGTCCTTCCACTTTCGACTTACCTTAATATTCATGATACGTTGCGCCCGTGTTTTAGCGTGGTCTTTAACCACTGACTGAGCCACTTCGTTTTCTAGCATCAGCCTTATATACCCTGCACGCTATTAGCTTGGCACTTTCCCTGCATCTCATCGCTTATGTTACATATACACGCTTCATGCATTTATAGTTACAAAAATTCTAATAGGTATACGCATATGCGTAATCTTAGCTAACACACGGGAAACGACTCACACAAAACCTGACGATCCTCAGAATATGAAAATAAAAAGATCAACGTCACTCGTTGATCTTTATAAAAAAAAATTATACGTCATTGCCATCTTTCAGAATTGAATTATTACGTTAAAAAAAATTCAATTGGAATTTAAGTGTCAATTAAAACTCGATTTATGATTTTTATCGAATTATTATCATACATCGCCCGAACAGATATTCTTCAGCGAAAGTAACCATAGACGTATTATACAGCATAGCAAGAAAACTCAAAGCTTAAAAGAAAGGTTTAGGATATGCGTTACGAAACTAATTGCTGACAGTCAAGTATTCACGGAGTCATTTCCATTCACTGATATTTCACTAGCGTTCAAAATTTGTTTTACGAAATCCTATATTTCTGCATGAAAATCGCGAAGCGCATAAATGATCTCAGGTGGCGGACGTGTCACGTGACTTTCGCCAAGTGACAGTACACTGTATACATATATAACACAGCAGGTAACCATCCATTTCTTCATGTATACCTATAGAAAATTCAGCAATGAAATTACTTAGCTCTCGCCTGCAAATCATACTGCTGTTAATGCGTTTCAGGTAATAATTCTGTATGGACCCCATATCGATACCACAAAGGTAGTCATTGGGCATATGCTATAATTGCTACAGAAATCAGAACAATACGGCTCCTGGGGTAGTCAACTGTTCGCATGTAGAATAACTAATGTTGTATGTTAATACGGTCGCATGTATAAGACCCATTTTGATCCTGGCTCGCGATACACAGCGCTTTTTAACGATTAATCGCTGCTCAAGCATCCCAAGCGTCATATCTTTCCTATCGCACGTAATGCTACGGAATATTCTTCCTGTCGAGAAAAAGGAGAATTCAAACGTGAATTCCAGATGGGGTCTGGGAAATAAACGTGCAGCCTTTCCTTTCCGATTTTGATAAACATCGTATAGATATATACAGGTATGACGTATTGAGTTAAGGATACTGTCGTCATATGGTGTAATCATTACCTTAGTGTCAAGCCGATGCATTTCAACTGGATAACGCGGTCTAACTAACTGAAGTATCTTGCACCTGTTTCTGGACATATGTGTATCTTTGGCTTAAATATTGTCTGTATAGAATCGATCAGATTTTATTGAACGATCAAAAATTTATTTACTTGATACATGTGTAAAATTGATTATAGGTAGTGTGCACTGTTGTTATGATTGAAGGTTATTTTGTGTTTTTAATATTCTTTTTTTGTTATTAGTCGTGCGAAGATCTATTGTCTTTATGATAATTGATATGGTTTCTATTTGTTAATTGGATACTGACGTTTTACTTTGGTACAGATCTGAGAGTCTGTTGTTAATTGAAAGATCAATTGGCAGTGACGCGTTGTGTTTCTGCGGCGACTTTCGTGGGCTTTTAATTGAAAATGAAGGAACGAATTGAAGTAGTACACCGAGCATGATAATTGGAAACTTTTACATTGCGTGTAGGTTCTCCTTCTAGTGTGGAATCGCCCAAGCGTAAATCCCGAAGAGTATTTTCTACGGTAAGTCGGCTTTTCACGGATTGCAACTTATGCACTGTGTTCTTGAAAAAAAAATGAAAATTCTGGATATTAAAGTAATTTATGTATATTTATTCAGAATATCGTTTTATAACAAGAAATACCGACACTGTTATAGTATACTTGAATGAGCACAGTAATTATCTTAGATATTTCGAAAAACGAACATACGGATTTGGAGCGTGGAGGAATGTGAGTAAAAAAATTTGGGTTTGCAGATGCAATGTGTTTTTCACCGAATGGCAGTTATGAAGACATTAAAAATCAGTTACGCGGTTTTTTGTTACTTGAAAAATCTACGCGTTACCTTCGCTCATTTCGAAAGTCAAGTTTGGTGAAGATTTTTGGATAACACGCGAAAGGGTTAGAATGAATTTTTCTTTAAATTTGAAAAGTGCATTGTCAGCTGAAAAAAAAGGAGGATCCATTTTATTATAATGTCCTGGAAGCACGAGCGTTACGAATTTCAAAAAGGAAGCAGACTGCGGCCCTCGAACGGGGACTGTAACTAATTTCAAGACAATTAAGACGTTTTGGGAGGTCAGGGCGAAATAGGTGGCCCAGAAATATAACGTGGACGTATAACAGCTCGCAAACGAGAGAAAGATTTGAATCTTATCCCTCGCAGATCGGCAAGGGACATCAAGTGTTTCGGTCCCATTTTCACTGATGGTATTTCGAATGGAATGATCTGGAACATAGCCACGTGCCCTTAAACGGACCTTATCTTATCGTTTTCAGTTTGCCACTGCCGCCATCAAGCGTTGCACTTCCCAATTAAGTGCAGACTTCGTTTACCGCAAAGGATGCTAACCGGAAAGTTAGGACTGTCAGACGCAAATGACTATTTAAGGTTTCACCCAAATACCGTCACGAGTTACAATAAAGAAAGAAAGAAAATTGACGCTTTTCAAAAATTATTAGTCTAGATTCTGTATCGTTCGGCAGCGCCATCACTAACGGAAAAGTTAAACTTGCACCTGCATTGTGGTTATCCTCCAGGGATGTCGAAAAGGTTTCCCCGTTTCTTCAGAAGGAGATCAAAAGCTGCACCTGCATCGCTCGCAAATAGTTTTGCTTTACGGTCGGTAACTAATGTGCTGTTGATGGCCAATGGGCAATGTCCTGGGGCCCTTAAAAACCGCCGACCTCGTGACGTCCCTTGGATTTAACTGCATTTTAACAACCGTACGATGGTCCACGAAGTACTCCGCCTCTTTTCGGCTGAGTACAGTTTCGCCAACCGACACACGTAAATTCTCGATTAAATGTAAGTTGGTACTGCGTATTAAATTCACTAGTGTCGTTCCGTCCACTTCTGAATGAACTAACCTCAAACATGACAGTCTATATTAAACTCGCACGGAAATATTCCACTTTACTTTCTTCTCATAAAATTACACCAGGTACATAAAATCATTTTCTCCTAACACGGGTATGTCATCTCTCAATGAAATGGCCGATAGTGACGCCTGTCGTGTGATCACTTTCCTGTTTCCTAGTCGCATTTATCATTAGATTTCACTCGAGGCACGCAGGTATTTATTTTTATATTTTGTCTTCATTCTTTTATTAAGACGGAAGAAATTCAAGTGTCGTTTATCCAGTCCAAGCAGGTAGATCTGCCGTAACCTCTTTTAACTCGCGTCGTATGCGTATACGGTGTAAATTTAATGAAAGTAAGCCCATCATAATTTTCCAACACGTATAATTGTACAGAAAGGCAACGTTTAAATTGAAGATCCTGCTATTTGTTAAAGATATTATTATCGAGTTCGGTCTCATGTAATTTGACCGGTATTACGCGTATGTGGACAACGTGTTACGATTATGTAGAATTGGGCCTGACTGAATCCTTGCCACGATCACGCATCTGATCCAATAGCCAATTACCGGGGACATGCCGTCTACCATGTACGTACACCATAGCATGCCAGTACAAGAGGCGCATTACGTTTACCAATACCGCCTCAGCTTCCAGGGACGAGGATGAAGTTAAGGAACCAATAAAAACGGTAATTGACATCACATATACGTAGAAACTGATAATTGACGATTTTCATTAAAGAAAACAGTAAACAGCTATATAGAATGTTCTCAAAGTGAAATCATTGTTACATACTCTGTAACGTCCCTATATGGAATATTCACAATAATTTATATATATACACACATACGATGATTATGTACAGTTATTCCTGAATATGTATAATCCCGGAATTGCGATAATAAATTGTATTCATGCGTGTTTTCTTTGCATTAATCGACCACGTGACCAGCTGGCGTGTAGATGAAATTTCTATTATAAATTAATGCAGTGAAGACAAAAAATGGCATACCCTGTCTTTCGTGTTTCGCTAATCAATGAAATTATAGCACGTCCTAGGCCTTTTGGACAATTAATTCACGTGGAGCGATGGTTTCGCGAATTAAAATGATATCGATCGGAAATTACTATAACTCTTTGCGAATTGAGTATAGGTTAGGTTGCTAGAACAACAACCTACATTATCAGACTAGAACTGGGCTAGGCTGTAATTTTCGATTTAATATATCAAACATAAATGAGTCTAATCTTTGGCAAACAAGAGGGATGCTTTTATTATTTTTTTTTTTTCAAGGAAGCCGCGTTCGACTTGGGTGCCTACAAATTAACGAGCATTGGAAGTAGCCAGGGCAACTGCTATTTCTGGCGACTTAATCAATTCGCTCAACCATTGGACTATTCAGTCTGACTGTTAATTAAATGCTGTAAAAAAAAAAAATTCTCAGGAACTCAAAACACGCGTAATACTATTTACGATACTGTATACAATAGCTGTATACGCTCGTGCAATTAAAAGTCGAACTTTCTTTCTGTAGATCGATTTTGTAATAACGCAAGATGCCGGAGGTAAATGAACATTAATTAACTCGTTTGGTATCCATTAACAGTCCAATTTATTTCCGTGAGTCGATGCCACCTCTGATCCTAAGGGAGTCATTTCGTAATTGACTAGAGACGTCCCTGTAGTTAGTGAAACTCTTACATTATATACACAAGTCTCATTACTCGACCCCAAAGGACATGACTTTCTGGATCTATAAAACTGGATATTGCCTATAACTATACATATAGATCTACAATATAGAGTATATCATCCAAAAAATTATTTTACAACCTTACAGACCGATGTTGCTTATACATCGATATATTTATCGATACTGTATCATAGTTATCAACGTTTATCGGTAACACGATCGTAATATCGTAATACGCAATGATCGAGAAAGATGATTGATGTCGATTTATAAATGCCAAAAGGGCCTGTTATTACCAAGCGATCTTTCGTCGTGTAATTATGTAAAGTTCCAAAAGCCATTTGATGTCACATTGCATACGTAGAAGAGAGTGTTTCAGTCGCGCTAGTGTTCACGTGAGTCTTGAGATAAATCGTATAAGGAATCTTTAGGGAGCAAAGGGCCGTAACGTAGAACGAAGGAAAGAAAGAAAAAGAAACGAAAAATCTTCTCAGGTTCAGGTGCAAGGCCCTACCTATACCTTGCATGTACAAGCAGACTCTTTTATTTGTAAGTTCTTTCTCCTCTGTAGTTGACTTCTTTTTTCTCTCTCTTCCCTCTCTCTCTCTCTCTCTCTCTCTCTCTCTCTCTCTCTCTCTCTTTTGTAATTTTCGCCTCCTCCTTTTGGGACGTGCGCCATGGCGCGTGCTATGGGATGGCTTTGGCGCACGAGGCGATGTATAAAATATCGGTGGCAATTAGCCACGCGCTTGATTTAAGGCCGGCATCGACGTACCCGAGGCTCTGGAGTGAGTTTCGTATATAAGGTACGCCTTTATAATTTAGCCAAACAGATCTTAAGTTAGACACCGGGCCAATTAGGAAATCATTGGGACACTGTGTATCGACAGAGGGACGGATTTTGAGAATTCTTTCTAATTAATATAATTTTATACATCATACTTGCTGCATTTGAATTTGGACTTTGGTAGAATTTGGTTTTACTTTGGACACGAGTTACGCCAACCAGACGTCTATATATGGAGTATATGCGTATATATAGCTATACAGGTTGAATGTAGTAGTCGTATTGCATGATGGGTAAAATATTCAATTCCTCGTGCGATCGAACCGACATGATGATTCTTTGCTCTTTTGTAGAATGTATACGTGCACCGAAAGCGAACAAACGGATCCGCACTGCATTTATTTGTAATTCCATGGTAATGAAAATAAAGAGGTTGGCTAAGCTAAGGTTATTGGACGATCGTTACGCGATCGTTAGCGATTAAATTCCTGTCCAACTTTTTAGACGAATTCCGAAATGGATGTGAGCGTACGAAAATCAAGGGTTACGACAGGTTTTTAGATACGCTAAAGATATAGTGAATATTCTATCTTTTTATATAATGATATTCATATATATTTCTGAATGACGTATATTCGATGTGACGTCACTAGAGATGAATCGGTATTGATATTTTGACGAATCGCTCCAAATCCCTGGTTGTCAATTTTGAATATCCTTCACGCTATAGAAAAAATTTATGAAAATTATTTTTACTGGGCTCATGCTAATTACAATTTTCTTAGGGAATTACATGGAAGTCCTTCCTTTAGCATGCATTCCACCGTCCGAGCAATATCTTAAATTCTATTCGGTGCATCTTCCCATCAATCCCAAGCGTTGAAGCCTCTAATTAAGCTCGTGCAATAAATTACATAATTTTTTACGAATTTTCTGCTACGAAAAATAGTCTCTTCCCTTACCTGAAATAATACGTCATCGGAATAAACACGTGATGAATTAAAGGAATTACGTATTATAAAAACCGAGCGTTCAAACTACACGGACTCCCGTAACGAATTGTTACGGCCACTTTTTAATACGATCGATCAATCATTCAACGTAACATTCAACGAAGCTCCAGGAGCGATGCAACTTTATTTTTATAATATTTTTCCTGATATCTTCATTTGTATCGAATATCTATAGATTCGTGTATCTGATGAGATTCGAATAAAGGCGGAGTCATCCGATTCTCATCGTGCTCCTTGAACTACCGATCTTACAATTAGATCAGATTCTAAGTCAGCCAACGAACGCGAAGAATGCGAGGCCAATTAATTTAAATTGGATTTTGTTGACTAAACCGGCGTGTACTACCACTCGTCACAGCCAGTAATCATAAATCGACTACCGACGTAACATCTTGAACGCACCCTGAAAAACCCTTTATTTTATTACACTCTATTAACTAGTTAGTTACAGCTAAAGTGTTGTCGCCAGCTATACCTGAAACAGTTAGGCATACATTCCAATAACACATGTACCTACGTAGACTTTTATTAGGTCCCAGTAGTACCCAATGAAAATTCTTTATCGTTTACAGTGCTTCACAATCACAGCTACTATCGCTATTGTTTTTTCTAATCCCACAATTAATCATCCGTCTAATTAACAGATTTTTTAATCAGTCCTCTAAATCTGCTTGTACCAAAATTTATATGTCATCCAATACTCGCGTGTCGAATCGGACTAATTTTATTGTATCAAGCATACCATATTTATATCTAAGGCCGATTGCGATTATGGTAAAATAACATGGTGCAATGTTAATTAATGATTGTTAATGATTTTTTGATTCGTAATCCTTAGTGTATTATAGGGTAGTTTTTTATTAGGGTACATAGGAGCTGGCGCTCAATTGTCGCGTGGCTGCCACACGACGCACCCTTTCAGGTATGTCGGACAGGTTCACAGGAGAGGCGGCGTACAAAACGCCAAAGACGTTCAATTTTTGTCGCATCTGCCTAAACGCCGCTAACCTATGATTAGCCAGAGGCAGTGCGATACGTAACCCGCGAGTTATGTGCCACGCTGCATTATACCGCCTCCTTGACTGGTCGCGTGCTTATATTATATACAGACGTACAGGAGGATACCGTGCCTGCGAATAATGACAGGCTGAAAATTTTCGGCGGTTAAAAAATTTTTTTTCACAAATTTTTATACATTGTACCTAAATCTTTGGCTGATGCGATCCAGAAGTGTATAAGATGCTGTCTGCCGAGCGAAGGATGGGTTATTATAGATTTTTAAGTATTGCATATTTTTTTTCCCCATAGATGTGCCACTTTTGGGCAAAGGAAACAATGAATTTTTACACGAGGCTAATGACGACGAATAATTCATAAATGTTGTATTCTGCTTTGAAATAAGTACGTGCAGCTTCCATGAATTACTCTTAGACCAACCTAATGACCATTCGTGATTTCGCGTGCTTAGATTCTTAAGGGCAGGTGAACCGAGTGGCAACTGTCCCCTCGGAGGCAAAAATCCGATGTTTTCTTATTCGTTTTCGACAAAATTCTGTCTCGCTGGTAACCTGCATTTGGTGCTCTTGCGCCGTGCCAACCAATCTAAGCTCGAGTAGGCGGCACCCTGAAATTTCGCATTGATGTCGGTCCATACCCGGTGGCGAGGATAAATCGACCGCTAAAAAATTATGGTTGGCGTAATTACTAATCTATTACGCTTGCACGAATTCCACAGTGTTGTAATGATATGACTCCCGGCATATCCACGAATTTGAATGACGCGTGCGTTTCGTTAAATATTCATTTTGCATTCGATAGCTGATTTTACATTTTCAGACTATGGTATATACATAGTTTAATATACTGCATAAGTTCACATGCTTGTGGGCTAGTACAAAAAATTGCTCCAATAGATCGTAGGACTTGTAACTGTCATGTGGGACGGCATTTCCATTCCGTTACGGATACGAAAAAATATGACAGCGTAAAACCCAAAAGGGGAATTTTCCTTTGGCTCAACTAATTCAGTTATGAC